GACTGCTATTTTGGACCAACGCAGTAGCATGATATGTCATGAGAAATGACAGAGACCACTATTTAGGACTTTCAACAACACATGGTATGTCATCAGAAATGACAACGACCACTATTTAGGACAAAAAGCACCACAAGGTATGTCATCAGAAATCACAACGACTGCTATTTTGGACCAACGCAGTAGCATGATATGTCATGAGAAATGACAGAGACCACTATTTAGGACTTTCAGAAACACATGGTATGTCATCAGAAATTACAACGACCACTATGTAGGNGTGGATTCTATGGGTTCTGATGGATTATGGTGGATTATGGTGGATTCTATGGATCCTGGTGGAATCTACGGCTCCTGGTGGATTCTAGAATCCATCAGGAGCCACCAGGAGCCGCTTTTCCCCCTTGGATAAAGCACTTAATTTCGTTTTTAAATATTTATCTACAGAGAAAATAACACAAGATTTACAATCTTTGAAAGAGCAAATAAGAAAAGCACGTGAACAAGATGATTTTTTTGAAAACGATCTTCAAAATTGGATAGCCACATTAGACATATTAAAGAAAGACTCAACTAATGTGGTAACGTCAAATACCATGGAAGTAGATCAAACATTACCATTGATTTATCAGATTCGAATCGCTGCAATATCTTCGACGATGAATACGATTGAAGGTAGAAATAAAAGTAGATCTCAATTGCAAGAAGCAAAACCCAGTACAATAAGTTCTAGTGAAGAAAAACATGCACGTGACAAAGGTAATACTTGAAACGATATCGACTGTTTTGTAGTACAGTTAATCAATCATTCTAGTTGATCATACTACTGGTACACACCTTTATTATGTTTACCAGCAGGGAAAAGGATATAAAACTTCGAAAATAAAATATTTTGCCTGTGTAGAAATTTTCAGACCATCATATGAAACTCAATTTTGCTGATCTTCATGAAGAGTTATCATTACATACTGCAAAATTTATCTTAAAAAAGTCACATTTCTGCAGCGAGGAAGTAATAGCCTGACGTTATATTCATAGTGCATTACGACCTATAAAACGTACACAGATTAGCTTTGCAAACGATTCGATATTCGCACATACTCTATAATGTACGAACAAAAAAACATTTTCTGAACTGCATCACAGCCTATTTTTCTACGAGAAAACATAATATTACAATAGATAAAGGAGGTATGTTCATTTCAAGTTCAATGACCTTAATTGATTCGGTAGTTTCATTGTTTAACTTGCAAGCCCTTTAGTTATTCGTATGTATGCTGAATCTGGTTTCTATGTATCGATCATTAAAATAAGTCTTTCTCATAGAAATTCTTAAAATCTTGTGTAACATAATATTTTCATTTAGATATACCACCAAACTCAGTCAATCTAATACCTTCGTGTTTACAATATACAAAGCACGATGGAGTCTACGTGAATCCAAAACCATTATTTGTTACAGCTGTTTGGTATTTCTATTCTCCAAAATACAATTCTTGGTTTTGGAAACCGTATAAAAATTATGAAATTTAGATGCCAGTTGATAATCTTACAGTGAAATCTGGATGTTATAAAGGTCGAAAACCTGTTTTACCAAATATTCAGATTATTGAGTATTTGCAACAATACAATCCTATTCCACCAGATGAAACTCTTTATGCCGCTTCACAAGCCGAAAATCGCATTATAAAATTATGAATATGAGAATCTTATTAATGGTCAACTAATGAATCAGATTTTTTATCTTTTCTTAAAAAAAATAAACATACCCTTTAGGGGTGCCAATTTACAGTTTATTTAATTTAATTTTAAATTAAATTCTATAAAGTTAAATTTAAATTTTTCTCATACAAAAATCTATTTCTCAATTTAATAATTTTTTTTAAATTTTAAATTTAAATTTAATAAATTGTTTGGATGGATGCACATCATTGCTACGAGGAAAATACGTGACTTTAATAGTAGTAAATACTAAATGAGAGGAAGACCTAGTATTTTAGGTTACTATTTGTTCATAATAGTCAAAATGTCTCTACAGATTATGCAGGATCCGTCATCTTTCTTCTTCAAAATACTGGGATACTCATAAAGATATATTTAATAGCAAAATTAGTAGAAAAATGACTAGCTTTAACTTTAGAAAACAGGAAACATACTCAAATTTGACTTTAAATAGTAGCAATCAAGTCAAGAACTATGTTTATCTACTAGTTTTTAAAGTTCAACTAATTTGAATTTCAAAAAATTTTATTTAAATTTATTTTAAATTTAAATTTTTGAAAATTTAAATGTGACACCCCTAATATCCTTCAAAAGCATTTTTAATTAAATAATCTAACTTGTGTAACAATTAGATTACAGCGAGTTACTATTGAAGTTAATTAGTTATGTATTATAGAATCGATTTATAAACAAGATTTCTCATCACACATAGCTTTCGTTCATTTTACAATAATCTTCTTTGTATAGAAATTAATTCTTCGCTTGCTGAATCTCTATCTCTACTTAGTTTTTGTATAATAGTTCAGTTCATAATATGAAATACCTGTCAGTACACCTTAGTAGAAAAGAAAATACATTCATCCAAATTACTGATCAATATTTACCGACAATAAAATGATTGACCAGTTAATTATTTCGTTTAATTAGTCTCAAAATTTTAATACGATTTAAGCGAGAATATATTATTTATCGTGCATAAGAAATTCAATTTACGCCTTTTTTTAACTTTATAATATTTACTCTTTAATTGTGAAAGATTATTTTTATGCTTCTTAAAATCTATGTACTAACCTGGATAACTCATTGTAAAACATATATTCAAATTTCCAGCTATTTTGATTCTTTCACTGGTTCACGAGTGATTACAGATAATAGATCAAGATAGACGCATTGATAGATACACAATTCAGAGCTTTGAAAAGTACTAGAGAGATTATATACGTATAATCGATGTAACGTGAAAAAATAGTTAAAAATAACTGACTACAATCTTTAATAAAATGTTGTATAGGTTCCTTTGTTTTTATGCACAACCTAAGCAAGAAGAAAGAAACTAAAAATAAAATCTACATGTATACCATTTTACATCCGTAGTAAACACAAGAGCAACGAGATAGAATCCAAAAAAAATCAAATTGTCGATTGACAAACCAGTGTTATTTGATGTCTTAATTATATTGTAGCTACTTCTGAATAATTTATTTTTACTTTTCTTCTTTTTCTAGATGCAATTATAGACGAATAATATTAATCGTAAAATATTACTACAGTGGGACATAGAAAATTATCTTTTTCATTTCATACTTTTTTGTGACTTTCGTTATAATTGTGCATCTTTGTTTTGTTTCTATATCAGTAGATGTGTTGTGAAGAAGAAGATTGTAACATGAAGAACGCAAAATGAAGTGCTAGAAACCTTCTACATGCACGTCTCTCATCAAATTTGTTCTATATTGCCTATCAGTTTCTATTTGTTTTGATTCTTTTTTTTTCTCCGCTGAAGGTTTTATCAGTTGTATTGATGACAGCTTCATTGATTCAACAAATACTTGAAATTCGAGATGCATCGGTTCCTAAGAACAGCCTACTTGGAGATTCTATGCCTGATGCATCTATTCTAGATGTAAGCAATATTCCACGTCAATGCGGACTATTATCAAACGATGAAATTAATATTACTGAAAATTATACAGCTACTCAACTTGTAACTCTATTAGCTCAAGGTCAATTGACAGCTGAACAGATCATTAGAGCTTATATAAAACGAAGTGGTATTGCGCATCAATTGACGAATTGCGTTATTGAGTTTCTTGATGAAGAAGCGATCAATCGAGCTATATATCTGGATCGAGAATTTAAAAGACGAGGAGGACCCATAGGTCCGCTTCATGGTTTACCTATCTCTGTTAAACATATGGTGACTATGCGTAATCGACGAACTAATGCAGGATGGATGAAATGGATTGATAGAATTGGTGAAGATGATGCTCTCATTTTGAAGATTCTCTATGAAGCAGGTGCCATCTTCTATGTTCGTACTACTGAGCCACAAAGTTTGATGCAATTGGAATGTAACAGTCCAATATATGGTATTACTGTCAATCCATTCAATCGAAACCTTACTAGCGGTGGAAGTACAGGTGGTGAGGGTGCTTTACTTGGTCTGAAAGGTAGTGCGATGGGAATAGGAACTGATATAGGCGGAAGTATACGTTCTCCAGCTGCTAATAATGGGCTATATGGATTGAAACCAACCACTTTTCGATTGCCAAGGCAAGGCTTAAAAGGAACACAAGCAGGACGAGAAAGTATTGTCGGTGTAATCGGTCCGCTTGTTCGAGCAAGAGAAGATATTCATTTATTCATGAAAACAATACTTGATACTGAGCCATGGTTGAGAGATCCATCGCTTGTACCAATTCCTTGGCGATCAATTGCATTGCATGCAACAGATTTTACAGTCGCAGTCATGTGGGATGACAACGTCGTACATCCTCATCCACCAATTATTCGAGCCCTTAACGAAACTGTAGAGCATTTGAAAAATTTTGGTATTAGAATTGTTGACTGGGAACCAATGGATCATCAGAAAAGTTGGGACTTAACTAGTGCATTGTATTACTGCAATGGAGCTGAAGAAGAACGAAATATGATGGCAGAAGTAAATGAGCGACCTCTACCATTAACAGAATGGATTCTTAGTCAACCACAAGTGATGAAAAGAAACTGGGCAGAAATGAATGAGCTCATCACAGAAAGGGAAAACTATCGTAATCACTATGCACGTATATGGAATGAGCGAGAAATTTCTTTGAATTGCTCTATCGATTGTCTTCTAACACCGGTCGGTCCATCGGCAGCACCACAACATGGTACAGCCAAATGGTGGGGCTATACATCCATATGGAATCTTCTTGACTATCCAGCTGCTGTTTTTCCTGTTACAACTGTGGATCTTATGAAAGATAAAGTAGCCATTGATTATAAACCTCGAAATGCACTTGATGAAGAGAATTTTAAATTGTACACATCAGCAGATTCATACTCTAATGCTCCTATTGGATTGCAAGTTGTTTGCCGACGATACAACGATGAAAAACTGATGAAATGTCTTGAAATCATTGAACGAGCAATGGGAAGACCATAATTGCAAAGGAAACAACTTTAAACTTGCTTGTTCATTTGATTTTTCTCTATTAAAAAGATATATGATTAGTAAAGGAGATTGAAATCATTTTCAATAAAAGCCGATTAAAGAATTCTATATAATTGAAATAGCAATTAGAATAGTTGAATCAAATTAAGAAATTTGGTTTTTATTTGCTTCGAAAAATAAGATATCCTTATAATCACTTATGTAGAGAATCAATATTATAGAAAGTCTGCCGATATATACGTTATTGACATATCGCATTCATAGCAGCTTCTCGCTTATTTTCGATTCATTACTCATTGATCCTAAAAACAAAAAATTGAGTGTAGTAAAAACAAGATTGACGTCATTTTTTGTGTTCTTCAACATTTTATTTAGTATATTTACATGTAGACATAAATAGCACAATATCATCGTTAGAACGAAATATATATTTATTTTTCATCTTATACTTAATGTGAACCAATTAATCCTAAAAAGAAAAAAAAATAGCCATTATATCTCAAATATTTCTCATTCTTTTCCTAAAAGATTTCGTTTTCTAATGAGATATCGTTTTGAAACGTAATTAAAATTTATATTACTCATTTCAATGTGTTTGAGAACAGAACTTCTAGCCACGTTTTCATTGGTGATAGCATTCTATAATTAGACGACGAAAAGAAAAAGCAAATAAATGTGTTGGTAATATGATAAGCTAGCTGAATCATTTTTCAAGTATAAATTCTTTCAGTTTTATCTCATTTTCATACACTGCTATATCGGTAAATGTCAAATTTTACTATGCTTATAGTCTATATCTTATCCTTTGTGACTCTGTTTAATCCTTCAGTTGGATATTCACAACGTACTTTTGCTAGTGATTTTCGTGCTCCGGAACCACCGGCTACAGTTGTTGCCGAATATCAAGCTTCATATATACAACATAAATGGGATGGAACAGGCATTTCACATATTGGAAGTGGAATGATATATGCTAGTCTTGCTTTTGGACGTCTTCGAATGGATATAACATATGAAAGTAATATTGCAAGTTCACTCTTCGATTATGCCCATCAGAATATTGATGGCACGGTTCCAAATTATATGTAAGTGATGGTAAAACGAAATTTAAAAATTAAATTTAGACTTTTTATATTGTTTAGTTATACGTTTTCACCAACAACCGCTGCGGCAGGAGCATGTGCCTATTACAATGTTACACCAGCTTATCCTTTATTTCCACCAAATGTTCTCGTTGAATACGGTGCTACTTTTGGTGGTCTTGTTAATGATGACCTTTTCTATGCTAATCAAGGACCATTACAAGCATGGGATCTTTTATTTGGTACATCAACTAGTGTTACAGTGTTTCTCGATAGAAACAATACGGTAGTAAGGTAAGAATTTCAATTCAATCGTAGATCCTTAACTTGTATATGTGTGCTATAGAATGGATTTTTCATCACCTTCACGTAGTACGTTTACAACAACACGTCTATTTAATATTAGTCCTGGCTCACCGGCTACGAATCTTTTTGAAAATCCATGTCCTACAAAATCACCAACTTCAACGCCAGTTTCTTCAGGTGGTACTCGTATTCTATAAGACTAATAAAATGCGATAGATTCATCATAGAGACTTACGCGTTATTAGTTTTACAAATAAATGATATTATGAATCTCTTATATTTTACTAGCTTAGATAGACCTTTCCCTCTCAATATTTTGTCTCATTTAAGCGAATGATTTTTTAACATATTGGCTCGAATTATAGCAAAAGTTCTAGATTTTTCTATTTTTCTTTCTTTTTCTTATTGAAATACAGAATATATTGAATGAAAAGCCACACTAAAGATTAATCCTTTCTGATATTCAACTAAATACTGTTTACTATTTGGATTTATGTTTTATTTTTCCTTGAAAGTATTTATCTACATGTGACATTTATCTATTTTGTTTTGTTTAATACTTCCAAAACTAAACATATTATCTGAAATTGTTTTTACCATTGATTTTTAATGCGTATAAGAACATTCTGAATGGTTGACAAATATCCTGATATGCCTCTACCAAATGTAGTTATCTCAATATTGTACATGCAGTTTTTTGTTACTTAATATTAATAAAGTTTCAGTTTATTCTTCTTCGAATATTGGACTCGTGAGAGGAGAATCTCTTGGTTGATTATCTATTTGACTTTTTTTTATGTCTGTGCGCACCAACTATAATATGATCACATCCCATTTAATTAATATCACTCAGTAGTTTAGTTATCATCGTAAGTTATTTGTTAGTGCCAGTTTTTTGATATTGCTAGAACTATAAACTCGATCGGCAACGATTTTACTTATGTATATATATATATATGTTTTTTTAATAAGCATGCTTTGTTAAAAAGAAGTTGATACTTCTCATTCTCGTCCAAGCATTTACAAGGCTACTTGAATTGCTACAATCTATTGGTCTTTAACATAAATTTCAGTAGATAGCTGAAAACTTAACGGAAGATTTGAATAGATAGCAGTGTACTTCTGCAACATCGAATTATATGACTGGCCGCGATATTGGATCTAGCGAATTTTGCTTCGGTACATGCGAAGCTTAAATCAAATAATTTCAAACAAAATAGAAGTTTTACTGTTTCAGCAGTCAATTCAAAATTTCAGTCGAAATCTTCGAATATCAGTAATAGAAAAAATCGACTGTTCATAAAAATAAAAGTCTTTATTGGAGTTAAGCGTCATCTCTGATGCAGTCAACTGATAACTTTGTATTTCAATCAAACGGTCGTCTGAGCAGAAAAAATACAACAAACCTAATTAATGAGAAACTAAGATATTCCGTATGAAGAAGAAAATTATATTCGTAAATCTTATTACAGCGATTCATGATATGTGAGTAATAATAATAAGGGATCTCTTATACACGTATATGAAAAAATAGCAGCGGCCACTAACACTAATAACTACTTCGTTCTAACTGCTTCAAAATTTTCACAGCACCAGCGAATATTTTCACAAGAATTCAATAGTGTGCATTAAATTTATCTTGATCTTCTTCATAGGCGTTTTTTATCAAATACTAAGCGAACACTTTTCATTCAATAATCAAATTCGAACCTCGCATAAGAGTTTTCTCAACGAACACATAACGACAATGAATCGATATATGATCCGTCAAATTCTCTGAACTTTGCTATTTCAAATTTGCATTTTCTACACAAGAGAATAGAGACATTCAGTTAATTCCCTAGACTGAAAGGATAGGGTCTAGACACCTTAATTCACCTGTGTCTGTCTGTAACAATGATACAAACGACTATTTCTGTGGCACGAATGACCATTGTTATGAAACAAAGAGCATTGCTACGGCACAAACCATGGGGGATGCATGGCATGATCACGTGAAGCAGTCCGTTCTGGAGATGGAGTCAATAGAGGGGACTAACTGATCCACCTACGGAACTTTGAGTTAACCATCACGAAATTTCTGAATCATGCATGTGTGTGGCTAGATAAGACTCAACCTCTCCTACGCCTTGAGGAGCTTTGAGTCCCATTCTGTACGTCTTTCGTCTTCACTTTTAGTGTTTTTACTTGAAACCTTTAATTTTCATCTAATTCTTACATCAGTTTCACTTAATCCCTTTCCCTTTGCAGGCTTGTTTGAAAATATCATCGCCAGCTGCTGACACAAACAACCGAGTTTTTGTCCTGTCCAACGATTTCTTCTCCTCAGCACTGCCAGTCTAGGGCCCAGTGAATCCACTTTCTATGAACGTTACTTGCTATTTCTTGTTGAAAATATTATGAAATTCGGCATCGATACTATTTAAGGTTTCCATGCTAATTCTTTCACTCCACTCCATGATTCATTGGAAACAAGCCCAAACCGGAAATCCAACACAATTATCATTTCACAATAAAGTACGACGATCATCGACGCAGGCCATTAACAAGAACTAATAGCTATCGTCGTCTGCTGCAGAACCTCTACTCCATTCATTAGCAACAACAACGCCAACTACATTGCATAGTTTATTCAAACATGAAAAACAAACTCGATACCTAGCAACAAAGCAGATGGTCAGAATGATCTCGCAAAAAATTAAAAAAACAGAAAATTCATACAAAGATGTGTACATACTTATACCGGTCTATTACTCAACGATTCACCGGCAATTTTACCCAATCATTCCTTGTTTTTTCCTGAATTCGAATGTTTCTCCTTATTCTTAGCTTCCTTCTCTCGCTTCTTTGCTTCTTTACGCTGTTTCTCAGCATCCTTGTCATTCTTTCCACCTTTCCCGCTGGAATCCATGACACCAGATTCGATGCTGTCATGCCGTTCACCAGAACCATATCCGCTCCATTTCCCCTTCTCTTCTTATTCAGCAGAGCCAGATCCATTGGTTTCTTCCTTCTCTTCTTGTTCGGTGGATTCTTTGCTTCCTTCACGGTGAGTCGATTCGCTAGAGTCAAATCCTTCACCACTGTCTGATGATTCACTATTGTTTTCACTGCTATCGACCACTGATGATCGTGAGCTAGTTTGCGTGGTCTCTGCCGTTGCGGTTACGGTCGGTTCAACGGGCCTATCAAATTGGAAAAGTGGTGGAATATGTTTAGTTGGAGAAACTAAAAATTTGATATTCCCTTACTCCGGCGATGAGGTGGTAGATTCTGGTACTTGACATTCGTTTGGCTTTTGTGTAGTGGTGTTTCTGTTTCTTTTGTTGTTTTCTCGTATTCGCTCACTTTGTTCAGAAAATTATACAGTAGAGCAATATCAAAATTAAGAACGAGTTAATAAGTAATTCCGTTGGTTTCTTTGTCGATGATTGTGGCTTGGAAGGGTAGCGGTGTCAAGGGGGAAAAGCGTATTTCTGTATTTCTATCTATTTCGAAATACTTTCTGTGTATTTCTATGTATTTTCATGTATTTCAGAAATACAGAAATACGCTTTTTCCCCCTTGCACCATCCACAACAGTATCATACGTGAATATGAGTTCAGAAGGAGTCTTTATATTGGGCAACTATAGATAGATAGAATTTGTTTTTCATTTGTTGATGTTCTTCATACATATTTTCAATACGGCTATCACAGAAGTTGCTGGTTTAATATGAAGTTATTTCAATAACAGATTGAAAATTTTTAACGCGAAAGAGAATATGGTGGCTGTTTTAATGATTAAAATTGATTTTCTGTTAGAGGTGGCTTGTATTCTAAGAGATTGATTTCACAGACATATGTAACTGATTCATGAAATTTATAAAAAAAAACCTATCCGACATATCCTAATACGACTAATATTTTAGAGTCAATAATCACACAGTAGCACAAAGAGAAAATTCGAAAAATTCCTTCACTGTACCGCGGTGTATATTCTCCACGCCGCGGTGCATCAGATACAATTAAAACCGCGATTTCTTTCTTCCTGTAACATTCTTTGTTACTATATGTGCAAAGACCAAAATGATGTCGTGCGCTAAAATTATCGCTCAAGTTCAACAAAATAATTACCAGTACAACCTTGTGAACTATTAGTGTGCGTGCTTTGTGGAAGACTTGAGAGGCGAGCAGCGATGCCTGGGAGAACAGATCGCATATGTAACATGTGTTATGACTCCCTCTGAGGATATGTTTAGCACTTTGACTGTTACTTCCACGAAGTAGCAACTGAACACCCGCGCGAACGAGAGTTTCGGTCGCCATGTGTGCTCGAACATCTTATAGTGGAGGATCAAAATGGAAGATTGTTATTAGGTTGCAATTACTTTAAAACTTTGATAAATATTAACCGGCAAACACCACGTTTTGTAAGAAGTTGTGACTCTCAGTGGTTTCATTTCACCGCGAAAGTCAGACCGTTTATTCGGTTTTTGGAAACCGGTGCTAACCGTCTAATTTTGAAAACCGCGGTTATCGACGTTTTTGAAAAACCTAATAAAATGTTTGACTTTCACGGTTTGCTAATACCTTTATGAACCTCGGTATGAAAAATGTCACTCTGAAGCGATTTTCAATGAAAATGTTTTTCGTGGGTACTCCCAGCGATGATTGTATGACGGGTGAATCCGTCACAGAGAATAAATAAGTCGGACCTCATTCAGCATGACAAAAAAAAAAGAACTACTCAGGATGTCATGTAAGATATCGATAAAAAGTTACAAAGAATTTTCTTTTATTACAAAGGAGAGCAAGTCGATTCTAAGTGTGTTGATCCGTGATATGAAAGTTTTTCCATCTTTATCTTTCTCTTTGAAAATGATCGAAACTATTTACATTCAAATATGTTCAAAAATAAATTTAACCTTTGAAGTTTGTTTAATGCATAAGCAAACTTGTCGACTGATTCAAGTTAATAATTTATCTAAATTATCATTCATATCTATCAAAATAGGTTTTTAACACTGAATTTTTGTTTTAAATCAAGTCAATGATTTTAACATTTACTTCCACAGAAATTCAATATAGAATCAGGAAGATTTCCATCAACATTTACGTTAAAATTCTTCTAACCGAAATCGAAAACATCAAATGAATTAGTTGAAAATATAGCAAAGAGGTAATAGGTCTGCACATTAAAGCATCGATCTGAATTAAACTAGATTCGTCTAAACATCATCAAGAATTATATTGATGATAGTTACTCAAAGAAGCATCATTTTCAAGGATGTCGAATAATGAAAATAGAAGAATTTTTCATGTTACACAGCAAATGTATCAATATTGCAATGAAAAACGTTCCGATAAAAATTGCTTTTTTTCAACAAGTTTTTTATCAGATGGATTGATAGTAGTCACGAACCTTTCATCTGAAGTAATTAACATCATAATGGATCTTATATATATGTATATATATATATATTCCAGGAAAAATGTCAAGTACTTTGTCTTACTAAAGTACAAGTAAATGAACAATTCTACTTGTGAAACAACAAGTAAAAATGAAAATACATTTGTTTATGTAGATGTAAAACTACCAGTCAATTTTTACAATTACAATTACAATACGATTACTTGCTGTACTTGTACTAGTCCTAACTATTATTCTATGTTGTACATTAAACACGAGTATCAACCTTATGTGTCTTTTTTTTAAATCTGCGATAAAGTTGTTTATCAATTTCATCCATTCGTTGAAGATGGGCTTTGGCTGCCATCAATGTTATATGCTGACGATTGATCATCTTCATCCGAATTCATAATCACCTAAATTGTTAACATAATTTACATGTATATATTATTAAATTTAAGTTCTTCTCGTGTCAAAAAGCGATCGTAGATCTAGTTTATTCAAAATGTTTAATAGCAGCTGAAAAACTATGATACAATTTTCAGCTGAATATCGTGTATTTCAGTGGAAATACTCACCGATAATAGATTTAAGAATCATTCGTTGGAAAACGCGAACTGTTCAGTTAGAAATCAGAACGACGTCTATTAGAATGATCAGGATAAAACACTTAGTGACATGCGCTCTAAGTAATCAACACAGTTCGAATCTATTTCATTAATTATGAATTATGTGAATAAAATACCGTATCACATGTACGGATATATCTGTTTTCGACAAATAGTTGAAGATGTGTCCGATGAACTTTTACTTTTAGAGGAGATTGGAAAGAAACTATGAATCGTCAGGGTTGGTTTGGCTGACTTTAACACGCAATCTAAAAATATTACTAAAATTCTGCTTTTGAGACTTTCTAGTCTTATTTTTCTACTTCAGTCATACGGAAAGGAAAAAATGTTATATTACATGATCGAATATATGAGGATAATCTGACTCATCTATTTAAAGTTGGTACCATTTGCTTGCTTAAATATTTAGTCTTCTCTTCATTTCCGTCTATGTCCTTTTGCTTTATTCTTTTTGTGCGTCATAAAGCATCCGTGCTTTTCACTCATCAATCTTTTCATTTTGATTCTCAAGATATAGCTGTCGTTTTCTGAAAAAGCCTTTCAGTTTACTGTATTGCTCGGGAAACAACGGTAGGCTCAATAACAAAAAATAGCTATCTCCTTGTAGAAATGTTATTTGATCTAGATAATAATTAAAAAGCGGAATTGAAAAGTTTCTCATGACAATCAAATAATTGACTAAAATAAATTTCCTTCGAAACAACAGAGGTTAACATTTAAAAATGTATGAATGGAGAAACAGATTTAACATATTTTCCTGTCAAAAAGGATTTTAGCCATAAAAAAATTCATTCAGAAATAAAAAATATTACTTCGCATGAATTAATCTCAAATTTGATTTTTCTAATGAAATTATAATCATAATACTTACATTTCCATCTTCATCATAATCAATACGTTTGTTAGCAAGTAGATTTTTCTTGCGTAACTGTTTAGCTAATTTAGCTTTTGTTAATTTTTTTTCTTTTTGTGATGACTCGGGTAAATCAATAACTGTTTGCTCAAGTGTGTTAGATGTCTTTTTGATTGTAAACAAATCGTTATCATCGTCATCTTCGTCTTCAGTCTTGTCTTCTTCTTCGTGATTTTTATTATTATTGTTGTTTTCATTGGTTGATTGTTCTTGTTTTTGTCCTTTTTTGATAAAACGAACTTTTGGTGCAATTTCAAGGCCCAATGCACTATCATAGAAATAATATAGAATTTTTAAATTAAAAATAACTGTATCCTACCTAGCAAAAGCTTCTATATCAATTGATTTAACATCGAAGACTTTTCGGTTACCCATTAGAATAAGTGAACGAAGATAAGATGTAAATGCCTATAAATTTAAACGAATACTGAGATCTTATCTTTGCAATACTGCAGCTCGCCTTACTCTTTTTGCTTCTTCTTTAAGTTCTGGAAATTGGGCACAAAGTGTTTGAAGCTTTGGTGTTAAATCATGAATGTAATTTGGATTAACTCTGCAATCATAAATCATTCGTATCAAAACTTTGATATGAACACTTCTATTTTTACATACTCAATTTTTTTTATAGGAACTTTTTTATCTTCTAATTGTTTAATCATTCCTTGCTCTTCACGAGGAGTTAGAATTAATAAAGCTTCTCCGCCATGCTGAAATCTATTTTTAAAGAGATGAAAAATTACATATGAATTCATTGATATTCTTATTTTACCGTGCAGTTCGTCCAACTCGATGAATGTATGTATTAGCATCAGCAGGGCAATCAAATTGAATAACCCAATCAATAGAAGGAAAATCTAAAGTTATCTATAAATACCAATCTCGGTTTTGTAAATTTATTTACCTAATCCTCTTGCAGCAATATCAGTTGCAAATAAACATGCATATTGTTTTCGACAAAATTCATCATATACTGACATCCGTTTCATTTGATTCATCGTACCATATAATGCAAGTACTGGTAAACCGGGACGAAGTTTGCATACAACATTATAGAGAAATTTCACTTAGAAATAAAATAACTAGAATTAAAAATTGACATTCTTTCAAAATTCAAAGTATGAAGAAAGCGATTTATGCCAGGGATACGCATTGGATTGAACACTGGAATATTTATGATGAAATAGGTGCAATAGAAAATTTTTTAGGCGAAAAGAATCCATCTATGAACTTCTTTATTTTCTTCTGTAATTGCCGAATCGCTTAGGATAGTCAGAGTTCTGTACTGAAACTAAGATTATATCAATTTAATCTTGATGAAGTGAATTATTAATTTTATTTGCATCGAGATGTGCTAGTTGATTAGTATTATGTGCAATAATGCGCATGGAGAAAACAGCTTGATATGAAGCTATTAGATTTCTTATAACCAGTGGCCTAGTGAAGATTTTAAAAATATTCAACGATATTACAGAAAGATAGTTTCTATAAACATTTTTATCATCAGAAAAATGATTCTTGAACTTCTCCATTAATGAAAAGATGATTGTTCGTTTCTATATTCCTATTCAATCATCAACGTTAATAGTTCACTAAAAGTTCAGCAAAACTAAAGTCTACAGCATGATTAGCTCATGCTTTTCAGTTTGCTGTATTTCGACGAAACAGCGAAAGTATTTAAGGCCTATATGATTTAGTAGAGCATTGATTACTTTATATAAATGTGTAGTTCTCAATTGACTTATTTTGCATTTTAATAAGAAAAGCAGACATTTTCTAAAAATAGTTAAATACAAATGTTGCATGCGTATATTTCACTCAGATCAAATCCATTTGTTGTAGAAAATTTCTAAGATGAAAGATATCCACTTAACTTAAGGTTGTACGAAGTATTGAATGAAACTGTTTTAAACTTGAGAAGGGAATAAAACTTTACTGTTGAAATTGTAGATACATTTGCAATACTAGATTTTTGATACTATTGGCACGATCTCAAATTTATCCATAAAACCTTATGACTAAAACAGATTAAAAATAGATGAATCAATACAGTAAATGCTGCTTGATTCAACCATATATTAATTGGAAAGATTAATGATTAGACGACTTTAATTTACTCGACAAGAATCATTGATTTAAGGTTGAACAGACGTTCACTTAATTTTTAGTTAAACTAAGGAATAAAGTGGGCAAAAAGTAAAAAATTTTATAGAAAAATGAATTATCTATCGAGCTATATCAAGTTACAAATGTTTCTTTGTTCAATACATCATAATCACTCGCAGTATTTGAGAAAAATGTACAAATTTCAAAGAAAAAAAGCTTTTTGTGTGCTGCTCGAAATTGACTCCCTTTCTTATTCAGGTACAAAATAAACCAATGGAGAACTACACAGTTAGATAGAGTAATCAATGCTGTACTAAATCATATAGACCTTAAATACTTCCGCTGTTTCGTAGAAATACAACAAACTGAAAAAAAAGAGTAAAAATAAATGGATCATGTTGTAATACAGTTGGATTTTCGAGGTATTTACAATAATTCAATATACACGTAGTATATACATCTCAATTCGAAGGTTAAAGATATTTTTATTAGTATTAATCGCAATCATAAAACTTACGAATTAAACTCCTGATATTCGAAAAAAGATAGTAGTCTCATATCCATCCTTATATTACTATTTTTGCATGATATAACTTAGAAAATGAACTGTACCTGTTTACAACTTTGAATGAAAACAATCATTTTCGATTTCAGATGATTTTTAATAAATGACCATAATAGACCAACTTTTTGTGGTACTTCACAAACGATATAACTCTGAACAAAAATTATGAGATTATTCTTTATATTTGATATAGTTTAGTTTTACTTGTGTTAGATTTATTGGTGTACTTGTATTTGCTTTTTCATGAACAGATATATAAACCGGTTTTTCTAAGCTTACTAAAGCTAATTCACGTATTGATCTATAAAATGAATGGAAATAAATAGCTATGTCGAATAAAAAAAAGTTGTGCTGTTTATTTACTTTGTTGGTGTAGCAGAAAATAACATTGTTTGTCGTTCTTTGGGTAAATTAGATACAATAGATTTCATGGTTTCAGCAAAACCCATATCTAATGTACGATCAGCTTCATCAATAACTATTTGAAAGAAAAATGTTTTTTTAACACCAATAAGAATGATGAGTTTTTACTAAGCATTTTTAAATTTTCACATGAAAAATTCCATGTTTCATCAAAATGTTGTAGCAATCGACCAGGTGTACAAACAATTATATTTGTACGACTAATACGCTCTTGTTCACCTTTTAAGTCCTTTTAAATAAAATGATATTCAAAAGAATATTTATGAAGAATGGAATAAAAAATGCCTCCTCGTCCACCAATAATCAATCCAGCTGAAAAATCATGAAATTGACCGATCTTTTTTAAGACTTCAAATGTTTGATATGCAAGTTCACGAGTAGGTGATATTATTAAAATGCCAAGACCATCATTGATCGTCCATCGAGCTCGACAAAGACATTCAAGAACCTATATTATAATTTATTAATAATTATTATCCTATCATGCAGGTCTTAGTACAATTCCTATCAGATTAAAATGTAAACGATGAAGTAAAATTTTATTTTATCGATTTTTCTGGTACATGTCTTCATATAATGCCCTCAATTACTCATCTAGATATGCGAAACGGAAATGATAGTCTTAGAGACTATGTTTAAGCGGTCTCTGCTGACCCAAATTTGTAACCTAACACAACGTGCAATCAATGAATGTCCCCCACAAATCATCTTAAGCAAGTTCACGCACTAGTCCGAATATTCAATCTTTGATGTTTCAGGAGTAATGATTCAAACTCTAGTAAAATAAAATATTTGATACAATAGTCTGGCGGTTTGAACCAAATCACAGTTTCAGCTACCATTAATACACGGATTTCTACTGACTGTGCCTACCAGATACTCTGAGTTCCTGCACAATGCTATTGTTCCTAAAATAATTTTTGGATTTTGATTTGCGATTATATTTAAAAGCTTTTGGATTGTTAGAGAGATCACTTCTCAATATGGATTTATCCCTTATTCAATCAGTGAAACGAAGAATTGTTTGTTTTGAATTAACATACACTTAAATGTAACCTGTCTTATAATAATTAATTTAACGTTCTAAATAAATCCTATTACAAAAAAAGACAATGACGTACTGGAATAAGAAATGAGAGAGTTTTTCCTGAACCGGTCATTGCTGCTCCAAGAATGTCATGACCTTGTAATACAACTCCAATAGCTTCACGTTGAATGTCAGTTGGATTGATAAAATCAGCTTCAGCTAAACCTGAAACAAACTCGAATGAATAACAAAGATTAAAAAAGAATCAATTTTTACCATCAAGAGTTTTTTGAGTCAATGGAAAATCTTTAAAAGTTGCAATTGATCCAGGATCAATCTAAATAAATAGTTATAAACAATTGAAATTTTCCAAATAATCTATAGTTCATACTTGATCATATTGCTTTGTCAATTGTTGAATTTCTTTATCATTTTTTTTCCATTGTGGAATGCGTACTGAATAATTTTTTATTTTAATTTTCTGATTTGGATGCATCTGAAAACAATGAAAAACATAATAAAACATTTACAAAGAGTTGAAGAATATCAAGCAAAAATATCTATTAACAAAAACAAATACTTATAAGATAATAGCCATTGCGAAAGAGTCCGACTCGATTATCGATCGATTGGTACCCCAGGACGAACAATCCGATACCTGGATCCAACCGGACTCGATTGAATTTCGATCGGTTCCTGCAGGATTCTAAGCAAATTCGGGTTGCGGACCCATTCACGGATCCCTAGTGTTGGAATCCGATCGATTCTTGCGGGAACCAGTGAAAACCCGATAGGTTTCTTTAGGATCTCGTTGGAATCCGACTTCTAAAATTCCTATCGAATTCGGTTGTTGGATTTGGTCGGATGTTCACCGGATTCCAACACTAGGGATCCGTTAGTAGTTCCTCAACCCGGAATCTCATGGGTCTTTGTCGGCTTGTCGGATTTTATAAGATCCGGTCGAATGCATTCGCCTGGGACTGGGACGTGAATTGGTGAGTGAAAGCAGGGAGGGAAACGTAATCGATGTTGAAATGCACCAATGAAAGTGGGACGTTTAAAATGTTCTAGTATAAAAGAATGACAATATAAATTAATAAAAATCGATTTTCTTTTAATCTATTTTTTAAGCGAAGTTTACGCGAAAGATGGCGCCATATTTCACTTCTATCACATATAAGATTATATAGCTAGCAGCTTATTCCATGGCTAATAGTATCCCAGGTCCAAGCAACCGGCCCGGAATACTGCTTCGAGGGTCCGGTGATATCAGGCGTTTTCCTGCACGTTTCGGTGCGTTTCCTGCATGTTCCTGGTCGGTTCCAATTAAATCCGCTCATTTCGGGAGGCCGAAAACATCGTCCTGGGATAATGAGATCAACCAAACAATAAATTGCGTCAACTGAATTCTTGTATCGCTTTTGTCGATGCCACTCTATTGTATTGTAAAACAAGACAATCTTGATAGAATGAAATCAATCATTTTTGATTGAATACAATCATACGCCACTTTATATTTTGATTTAAGAGACTGTATAGAGAATCTGTTTCTCCCGATATAGAATTTGTTTAGAAAAAAAGGATATACATATTGTACTATGCTCAATATAATGATACTTTATTTTCACTATATATGACTTTGTTTAAAAAAAACCAAAGTCTACCGTATTCTTTTATTTCAGGGCAGGATGGAAAGTAAAATCCCAAAGCAAACGCTTAAAATTGAAACTACGCAACCAGAAAAAGTATACATAGAAATACATAGAAATACACAGAAAGTATTTCGAAATAGATGGAAATACAGAAATCCGCTTTTCCCCCTTGTCAATAGATCAAATTCTATATGTGATGTATGACAAAAATCAAGGTAATCGTCAATTGACGGATACGTTTTAAAACGTAGAACAATCAGGAAACTTTGCTTTATTAGAGACATCGAATTATATCTTCAATAGATCATGCAACTTTATACATATAAATAACTATGCCTAGTCTACTGAATATTTTTAGTACGATAATATTATTATTTCACCATAATTTAACAGGAATAAAAAAAAACAATCCGTAGACATTTAATGAAATTTTTCATAAAATACTCTTCTGATAGAATGTAATATTTTAAAGTGACTTCGATAGCTGTTAACATTTCACTATTGCATAAATCAAGAAAATCCTATGAAAAAAATGTCATTTTTAATTTCAATTTCGATTATTACAACTCATTGATTCCAATCATTCGATTCTATAGTAATCATATTTAGGGATACTTTTGATCAGTCTCAACATAATTTTATAGATTGCCAAAAATCAGCCACTAACGTTTATTATATGACACAATCTATATTTTGAGAAAAAATGATGTATTTTTATTTCAATCAAAAGATAAAATCAATCCTAATTCATCAACATAAACCTACTCTTCTTTCAAGCTAAGAATAATACCATCGGAAGAACGTCAGAGCCAAATTGTGGCAATTCGTCCATATAACCGGGCTGATAAAATTGTTTCCTGAAACCTGCTTTTTGATACATTCCAATAGCTTTTTTATTATCGTATTCCGTATGCAAATATATAAATCTATATTTATGACTACTAGACCATATTATAATGCTTTCTAATAAGCGTTTACCAATTCCACGACCTTGTGCTGATTGTGTTATTCCAAATAGCATAATGTAAAGTCCACGATTGGATCCCACATCAGTAATCAACGCACATCCAATACATTTACCATTTTCATATGCGCACCAAATATGATTAGCACTAGCAATCGTTTCATATAAACTAGCATATGTATAATATTTACCAAATAATGGAAATAGAACATCTGCTAATTGGCATAATGGATAATTACGATTATAAGAAATTCCAGTTGATCCTAAAAAAGTTGGAATCCTCTGTGATGGCAATAGAAGTTTCATTATTATCGATCAATAAAAAGTACTGACTAAAATAATATATTTTTTTGTTTTGATTTTCTTGTTTCGTACCGTATAATTATCATACGATGCATAGGTAAATGACACTCTACATGTGCTTATGAGAAGCGAATATTCGTTTTTTTATTGTATTTGTTTCGAGAATCGGAAAAGAAACATTATGTTCTCGTGTCAATGGATAAGAAGAAAAAAAAGAATGCTAAAGGTATTTCACTCATGTTTTTCATTTACAAAAGCAAATTTCATTAAATTAATAAGAAAAAAGTCAACTTTTTTTAATTTTAATTAAGATATAAAATTGTAGTCAATGTCTTTCTGATCAATTAATTGCAAATGTATGACTGTTATATTATTCGTTTTGTCTAATTTCTCAATATATTGAAGACGAAATAAACTTCCCATAGCAAATAAAACTTCATCTTCATCACTAAACATTGAATAATTCGAAATGTTCGCATACGGTCGTTTATGCTGAACCGATGGATCTGTTTCGATACAAAATAAGACTTGAACAAAATCATCGGTGTCTGATGATACAGCGATAAATGCAAGTGCTATTTGTAATGATGTGGTTGTAGATAAAAATGTATTGATTGATATTATATCGCCTGTACGTTTTTTAAAACAGTCGAATTCAGTTTTTGACATCAATTGACCGCGATAAAGTTTTTCTTTGAAAGGTGAGACATCAAATGTATGCACTTGTTTTTCTAGGCCGTCAAGTTGTAAATAAAGGTCAACAAGAAAATATCGCATTTTAAACATCATTTCAGCATCACTTGATCGAAGTGCTTTACTAATTATACGAAATAGAAATGAATCACGCGAATACCATTGGATAGCAGTATGAGCATTATAAGTTTGCTCGAACATATCTATGTAAACAAGAGCTGCTTCATTGTCTTGATTTAGGCGGCGAAATTCTGCAATCATTTCATAGCGCGATTCATCTGTGTGTGGTAAACAAAGAAGAGTGTCTATGGTACGTTGATGAGCGATGAATATATCAGCTTGCTCTTGATTGTAGACCGTAATAGGTATGGAAAACAATGTTTGATCATAAAATTCTTCATGACAAGTCTAAAGTTAAGCACGATATTATAAATCACAAATAAGAACGTGATGTATATCTATGGTATATTATTCTGACTAATAAAAATTTGAAACGATTCGAATCTACAAATATAGTGACATAAATCATTGGTCACAGTCTAGAAGCTTTTACGGTCAAAGTATTCTTTTTGACTTACTTTATCTATTGCTTAATCGTACGTAGGTGCTCTATGTCACTATGAATAAAATTTCAACGATTCTTTTTTACGAATAAATTCTCTTTTGATATTTAGTAATGAATAGAAAACACTATAAAACAACGCACATTCATAGTAGTAGTGTAAACTATAGACATCTTCATTCGACATAGATACGTTTACTGGATTGTGTATTCACTCCGATTGATCATCACTCTATGTTTCTTTTTTTTTACCTTATTACTATATACAAAAACATACACTGTGATCGATAAAGAATAAATACGAATCGATGATATATTAAAATGTTAAAAGCCAATTTGTATTTGTTTTAATAGCTAAACTCAATTTGAATGTGATTCTAAAAAAATACATGTTTATTGCGTTATGATGAATATTCACTACATAGACATGATCTGATGCAAATTTTCGTTATAAAAATATGTTTCAATATTACTGATTAGTGTTTGCCTTGCGAAAAGAAAAACTTCTATAGTGGATTTTTAATGAAACAAAAATAACATGGTAATTATAAAAATTACTATGCCGAGCGTTTATCTTTACTTGCAAAAATAGATTGTTATGCATAAATTGACTCCGTCATTCACCTGTGTCCTAATCATCAACTTGTTATTTATGATTAAAGAAAGAAAAGAAATGAATGCATCTTTGTCAATATTTCATATTGTGATGATTAACGACTTCAAAAACGAATATTAACTGCTTTGTTTGCAATCATTGAGCATATTGTAAGTTACAAAACATTCTATTTTCTTTACTCACAGTTATTTTAGGTTGCAATTGAACATCGTTGCTATTTTTGTCATCGCATTGACGTACTAATTGTATGTTTTGTTTTAATTTTTCTTCTAATGCCGAAGAATCGTTAAAAACTCCTTTTATCTGATGATAGAATTTTGTCCAATTCCCATGAATACCAATTTGAGAGCAATAAACATAGACGAATCGAATCGCTGACATGAAACCAAAAGATGCCAGAAATAATTCATAACCGAGAGTGCCTGACACAACTAGAAAGATTTCATTTTGTTGACGCAATTGATGTTCAATGTATTGGAAACATTCTGATATATCTCTGAAGAAGCACCACTGGCATGGTTTAATTATTTCATAGAGACTACTGTCTACTGAATTTAAAATATCATCAAGCCAAATAAATGACATTCCTCTAGGCTTTGAAATTTGATGATATCTAAAGGATGATGGATTTTGAATGCAACATTTAGAGAGAGCTATATTGCCGGATATTTTCTTTTGGTCGATTTTATCAACTAATTTTGACGGTGTTTCAGGCTATTTCAAAAGCAAATCTTATAGAATAAACAAATATCAAAGAGAGTTTGTTTTACCTCTAATGAAAAATATCCCTCATGAATACATCTATCATACCAATCAAATATTTCTGCTGTTATTTCATTTTCGCGATGGCTTAATGTTTTAGAAGCTCGACGCAGAGCGGATTGAAATCGAAGATTTTTATCTAGACCAGTTAAATTCACCGGAGCTATACGTTTAACTTGCCAGTTGCATCCAAATTTAGGTCCGATATTCCATTTGATTTCATCATCAATATATTCATTTTCGATGAATGCACACCAACTATCTTCATCTTCCATGACATGAGTTTCACGACTTATCATCAGACTGCTCCATCCACTTGAGATGAATTCTTCATTGCCGTATAAATATAATCGTAACGGGGATAATCGTTTAAGTAATTCGCAGATATACTTTGGATCTTCATGATTGAATAGAGCTTCAGAATAGGGAAGCAGACATGAACGTTGTTCATCCGTCGAAGGAATATATTTATCGAGTGTCCGAATTATTACAGAAGAATAATTTAATTGGTTACCTGTAGATTACAAATAGAATTCATAAAACTGCTTATCTATATGTCTCAGACAATGAACTAGAATCTATGAACTTTTAGATTATTCACTAAAACTTTTTCATCATACTACGAAGTGTAGATTTTTGAATGAAAATTATCTTAAGTTGCTTTTCTAACTTGCGTTGCTGAGATGAAAACACGGAAACTATACGTCTAGCAGGGAGAATCGAATAATTTTAAGCATAAAATTTTCATAAAGAAGATATAATCTCAAACAAAACTATTCATTTTCATATCTATATATATAATGTTCAGTGTCTGTGCGTTTCTCTGCCGGGTAGTGAACTGCATCGGGATCTTTTCGGGCTTGCAGTAAGCACTGTTTACTAAACAGTGAATAAAAACTTTAAACCAATATCAAACTTTTTTTTGAAATGTGGGTTCGATAGAGACCTTCTTCAGTTTGCACTCGGGAATAATAGTCAATCCATGAAATTGGAGAAGGAAAATATACGAAAAAAATCGAAGTCCTATCTAAATTCGATTCCGTTTTATTTTGTGATCGTTTTCTGCGTAGAACTGAAGGAATTAAAAGTTTTTCAAATCCAAATGCGTCAGTCTACAGCTAAAAAATTGCACTATCGAATTCACATCTCGAAAAAGAGTTTGTGCTTGATGTAAAGTTGTTATTTATTGTTTACTCAAGGCCCGAAAAAAACCAGATGCAGTTCACCACTGCCGGGTCAAACCTTAAAGAAGAAAACAGCCGTGCAGTATGCACGAGTTCTCGCTAGTAATCTATAATTGATGCTTACATATTTTTTGTAGTCGTTCTTCAGCATTGATCAAATTTTCTCGACTACTATTCAATGGAATGAGTAAAATATGGCATGGTTCCGCCTGAAGAAAAAATTAAGTTTGCCGAGAAAAACACGAAATAGTGCTGACATACTTTAGCAAACGACATAGCCCATTCTTTTAGCAATCGTGCTTGACGATAGTATACTCTGACTAAATGTAATCGTTCTAATTTTGTTTGTTTTTCACTCTCAATTTTAAAAAATTGCACGATATCTGCTGTTAAATCGAGTGTAAACTGTTGTAACTGTTTATTCATAATTTGCGGCCTTTTTTTATGCGTTGATTCACATGTTAAGTTGTCTCGACTATACACAGCTTGTACACGATGATTAATTTGTAGACGTTCAAGAACATCGTTGCTTATTGGTTCGAGAAGTATTACAAAATATCGCTTTAAATTATTACTCGACAGTGGTGGGTCAATGGTAATGAGCTCTTCAAGCGATTCTTCATTAGTAGTCAATGAAAAAGAAACTGGAAGTCGCAAACTAAGTGTAGAAATAGTTTTGCTCGAACCAAAAGCCACAACAACAGGCTCAAAACATGCCATTGAGTTTTGGTTTTTTTTCAAGTAGAAAATTTTTCAGTGCATACAGGATTTATTTCAATGTAACTGGTAGGAAGAGAATGACAAAACATTAGGTTTTTAAAGGTGTACGCCGAGAGAAAGAGAGAAGAGGACGAAAACAAATTTAGGTGAGGTTGGAAAAAACACCGCTTGTTTCTTTCCCAACATCGACCATTTACATATAACTTGGGAAGAACCCATTATGTACTGTATCGTGAATATTGAGTCCGAAATTTATATCAAAAAGGAAACTTCATGTTATACAATCGGTTTATGCTTGCCCGTAGGATTGTGATTCATTTAAGATTAATTATTTGTATAGTAATTCGACACAAGAACGACTTATATAAACTTGAATGGACTTATGGCATAATCGAATACTCTAGTTCGAATTATTGAACTTAAAACCACTGTTTTATCAGCTTTTGCACAGGTATCAAATACTTTGCTGAATATTTCGAAAGTTCATATAATTCATTCAGTGTATCTAGTTGTCCTTCAAAAAATAACAGTCGGTCAAAAGTTATTGTTGAGACTGAATAAGTATAAATAAGGTGTACTGTGTTTCATCTAACGTGACACGCACATTTCAAACTTGCCGAAACAAAAAAGAAACAATCATTTGTTCATCGAGTAGTCACCGACACATCGCATGCGCTCATGAATGTCAGTCCTAATTGGGATATATATATATAAAGTTGAAAAATCTCTTTTACTTTAGTCACTTTTCTCTCTTTGTATTCAAACTCGAGTCTTTTTGTGTACTCAAAAAAGAAAGAGTACGCTATAGAATCGGTCAGTGTGTCCGGCCGTTTATTCGATAACCCTTCACAATTACATTCGATTGAGCTGAAATTCTGTGTACAGAATTGTCTCATCAATATTTAGGTCGAGTTCGAAGATGAGAAGGATCCATCAAGAAATGGCTGAGTTATCGAAAAAATTGTCATTTTTGATCAGACCATCCCTGAGGGGGAGTACAGGGATTTTTCAAAAAACCTTTTTTTCTCAGAATTATCCACAACATATATAAATCGACTCAGTTTTTAACGCTGATTCTAAATCCGATATTAGTTTTGAACTAAATCATAGCCTTCTAACGAAACATCGCCTGAAAAACGTCTCAAAATACACAAAAAACTGCATCCAGAAATCAAATTACCTAGTTTCTCATGATAATTTTGGTGTTCAAACATTCTAGAATGACTCATATGTCCCATGCACTTTTTGCAGTACACACAACTCTCGGATGAAATCCGACGTTTCCACATTTATTTTGTATCAAAACGTCTACAAATACTTTTATCTATTTTAACGTTACCATCCCATTATTCATATTTATTATCGAAAGATTATGACATTTGGATACACTTGATGCTTTATAGTAATCTTAGAAGCACAAGACATTCAATTGTTTATGCTTACTATTTCAAACAGTCATCAGATCATACTTCCATATTTCGATTACTGATTGATATGATTAGTTATAATCATAAATTTGTAATTTTATGTCTTCGATAATGATACATATCACGATTCATCACTATGTAGCTGTGAGATCTACGCTGTTACGATTACTAAACGAATCCATACAAAAATAGTACTAATTATAGTAACTACTACAGTTTTCTCTTTTTTTAATTTTGGGCTGGCATCAATCTACTTAGCATTTGATTACAATACAATCATTTTCTTCTGCATATTCTACCCTTGATAATTTATCAATGATGATATACATTGAACAAAGTCTACTATTGAAAAGCGAGCTTGCGAAAGTTGTAACCGTATTATTCTTATTGCCATTCCAAGCAAATAGTCATATATGGAAAGATTATCTTTCTTTTCGTTATTTTCACGATCGAATTCATTTAAATAATTTTTCTTTCATCAAAGTTGATTATTATAATCAAAACCAAATCCGAATTAAACACAGTATTAGAAATATCTACCATTATGACCTTTCTACATCGATTTAGAAAAAATTAATGTTTTTCTCGGTTTTATTTGTTCGATTTGTGTATCTGGATTGTTGAAAATTATTTTTTTGTCTAAAAATCAGTAATACTAATTAAAATACAAGTTTAATAATTATCATGTAATAAAATGAAAACTATATCTTGTTGAAAGACTCCTTCTTTTAAAATTTATTGAACAAAAATATATCACAAAAATCAAACTAATTCTAATGAACAAAAAAAAATTATTATTCATCTCAAATGTTTTATGAGTAATCACGTACATCTAGTTACATTTTTCTTATAGGTATATCATATTGTTTTAGATCGGGAAACGAAAAAATACGCCCAGCTGCTATACAACTTACTAGAAAACTAAGTATCGTCAGTAAATGTGCTGTTTGATATAGATTAGCTGCATAATCATTATAATAAAGAACATATGCGCCTTCAGCCATTCCAGCAAGCATAAAAAGGCAAGCAATAAAAAGACCTGTGGGTGAAATTAGATAGATCCACGTTGCTAAATTTTCCACACACATTAACAAAGTTGTCAGTGTTCCTACGAAAATAAAAAATATACCAACAATACAGAGACCAGCTGCATTATCTAAATGTTGATTCCATTCAGTTTGATTCCATCGTGCATTAATAGGATAATATTGGTTAATGTTACGATTATCACTACGATGTATACAATTCATCGCCGTACCATTTAAATTCGAGCGGCATGCATAGAAAAAGTTTGCTGTACTAATAACATATGATTGCCCATTGATTACGGCTTGAGCACTTTGCCAATTAGGTGTACCAATACCAACACACGCTAATAGTAAAGCAATACCTCCGAAAACTATAGTGATAATAATGAATGTATTATTAGGACCATCGGTGTTCATAGTTAATTCTATCGTTTTGAATATGAAATAGATATTAATTGTAAGAAAAATCTGTCGCTTACTTGCGTAATATTTTAATGATCCCTTGTTTAATTAAAATGGTTGCTAACAATCATTGATGCTTCTTTCTCAATGCCGCTGCTCAAATGTCATTCTTCACAATAGAGAGAAAAAAACTTTTTAACATAACGTTTGCAGTAAAAGCTGTCATGAAAACAAACGAAAACAGTTATTTGTATTGTGTACAGATGCATCGTCACGAAAAGCACGTTGCTATTAGTTTTTTTTTTCGTCAGTTGAATGTGAAATAAATCATCAGACTGAAGAAAGGTAAAAAAAAAAGGCTGTCGAATTTATTGTTGATTGAATAAGACTGACATGTGCACACAAGAGATTGAGTTCGATTGATGGAAAGACAATTTTATAAGCCTTAAATTTATGGTTTCATATGTGACAGAAAAAAAAAATTTACAAGATTTTCAACAAGATGAGAAAGCATTGGAATTTTTATTTATTATTAAAAATTACACTTGGCATAATATGCTATCCGTAGAATGAAAGATGAATATTCTTTCTATGTTGAAGCATGCTGACACTGAAGTCGTGCCGTTTGATACGATCATCGTAAAATAAGATATAATCTTTTACATTTTTTTCCTTTTGTCTAGCTATGCATCAATGATCATATTTTATGAAACATATTGATAAGATAAATACTATAGCGAAGACTTATGTTGCTGTCAAAAACTCTACTGAAAGAAATGTTATTCGATCGAGAACATGTTTATTTAAATATCTTATTGGAAATAGGAATCTGATCGTTTAAAACTATATTCATGGTTTTAAATATATATTTACATGCCTGAATAACTTAGAATTAATATCGAAAATAACAATTGCATTAGGTTGAGAAATTAAATAATAATAGTATTAATGAATGAAAAGATCCGAATAAAAATATGAAGAAATGATGCTTTTTAAGCAATTGAAGTATACATTATAAAAGAATAAAGACCTTCAAGGTGAAAATTGCTCTTTATGAAAAATAGTTGATGACGTAGAGCCGTAGAAAATAGAACAGCACTCATGAATTATCACATTGAAAGACAATAGAATGTGCATATAGATATATTTTTGTCATTTGACTATAGTAATTTTCAAAGTAAAACTTGCAGCACGAACCTTTATTGGTTCGGATTCCTGGTCAGTCTCAGTCGAATATTTTAACAACGATACGCGTTAGATATCTTAATTGGAAATTCAATTGCTAACTTTGTAACTATTCATCTTGGATGCGGCAATGGAACATTCGGAAAACCAATATCATACATAACAGGTAATATCTTTCGCTCATACTCGGCCACTATTGGTGACTTTAACAATGATAATTAACCGGATATCGTTGCTAGAGATCAGATGAAAAATTATATTTGCATTCGGCTTGGAAATGGTGACGGAAATTTTCTAAACCTAGAAACATATTAAACTGGAGATAAATCCTATCCTATTCATGTCGCTGTTGGTGATATTAACAACGATAACAAAGTTGATATCGTTACAGCAAATACCAGTGCAAATAATATTGGTGTATTTATGGGATTTGGTTATCGAATATTTAGTAGTATGACACCATATACAACAGGAAATCAATCGCTGCCAATCTATGTCGTTCTTGCTAATTTTAATCACGACCCTTATCTAGACGTTGTTGTTGCTAGCACAAGTTCTGACACTGTAGGTATTTTTCTAGGATACGGCGATGGAACATTTGCCAGCATTACAACCGATTCCACTGGAATCAGCTCTCAAACACAAGTGATTGCCATTAGTGATTTCAATAATGACAATCGATCAGATATTGTCGTTGCCAACTATGGTTCGAATGGAATAAGAATATTTGTCGGCCATGAAAATAAAATTTTCCTCAAATATCAATCATGCTCAACTGGTTATGGCTCTCGCCCACGTTCAGCCGCAGTCAGATATTTCAATCACAATGATTGGATCGATCTAGCAGCAGCTAACAGCGGCTATGACAACGTCGACATTATTGTGCAAACTTGCTAGTTTTTTCGCTTTTCTAAATTATTGTATTTAATTCTTGACTATAAAATCAAGCATCGAGGTCCTACAACGATGTACTAATTGTAATGATATTTCATCATACCCACACCCACACCCTGTTTATAGAAATAGCTTTAGAAGAAAAATCTCGTGATAGTATTATGATTTTTGAAATAATTATGCACGTGTCTCCCATAGTCACTCACGGTTCACGAAACAAAGCTGCCCTGTAAGCACAAACTTCTTGAAAAGAAATGAGTTATCGAAAGTGCTAGATTATATAATTACATATTTCATCACTTTTAATGCAAGTAATTTAGTTCACTGTTAATTGCTTCAGCTGTTAAACACAACGATAAATGCCGAGTGGGACATACCCTGGTCGACATGCACATATTCGATTGAGGCACATCGAATTGCCAACAAGACCACCACAATTACTATCCGAATCACATGGATAGCCAAGAACACTATCGTAGATATACGTGGTTGTAGTAATGGTAGTCGGAGAAGTGGTGATCGGAGAGCCGCTAACAGAACTTGTTGCAATCAATGCAATCAATAATATGAGCCACATTTTAAATCTAAAATATTGAAAATATAGAATCGTACGACAATCATTTCATTGACTGAAGGATTTTTTTCACAGTTTTTCTAGCATGTGTTTGATGAGCCCGAAATTCCAATTCATCATATACTACTCAAATAAATGATTTTTAAATTGCATTGAATACTAAAAGATAGCAACTTATAAAACTTCAGTTTAAACAAGTTTGATTCAAAAAGTTTGATTAATCCCAGTTGAATCGAAGTCTAATGGGTCGCATTGAGACTTACGATCATCAGTTTCTTAAGCAAATAAATTAAAAGCAACTGCCCGTGTGTCCTTGAACTGAGGAGATCTTATAAAACTTTGGGCAATCTAACTATGCCAGGCTGAGTAAAGCGATGAGATATGATCTACTGACAATGCAAAGTGATAAACAATGGCTTCTCATAGTAACAAATAGTGGCGCACCAACAACTGAAGCGAATCATGAAAATTAATAGGCTTCTACTGGTTTTGCTTTAGGTAAACAATCAAAAGGATAAGAATGGTGATTTTTCTTTTGAATACACGGACTTTATATGAATACATCTTTAGCTAGTTGTTTCTTTTTAAAATTAGCGAGACGAATAAAAGGTCATTTTTTTATTTTGATGTAATCCATTTGTCAATAGGAAAATAATTCGATACCATCTACTACACAGTTTCAATATTAATCCATAGCTTTGAAGGGCATTTTTACTTTGTTTAGCCAATTTAATCTATTTCTTTTTCATCAACTGCAAAGGTTCATGTAAGATTTGGTGATCTTCAACATTTACTCTCACTTTGTATAACTACACTTGGCATATGAAATCATGAGGGAATGATCCTTGTACAAATCCAAATAGTATAATTCACTAATCAAATATGAGTTTCACATGAGCGAAACAATCCAATTGACTGCTAATTATTCTATTAACAGAACGAAATGAATATATTCTTTTTCTCTTAATGGAAAAGAAAATGCAGATACAGTAAAGTCTCTCTATAGTGGGCACTTTTCGGACTTTTCAAAAGTGTCCACTATGGGAGGTTCCACTATATTGTAGTAGATTTCAATACATGCAATATGGAATCAACAACAGGAATGCAATTCTAACTGTCAATTCATAGCATAATGAACATTCTTTATTCTTGTATAGCTGACGATGGTGTATAACAATGGAACATCGTGTAGAATAGAAGATGATCCTCATTAAAAGGTTATTCAGAAGAAAATTTTCGTAAGACGTTATTGAATGGCGTGCCTGTTGCAAACGCTTTTTTCCTGTAAAAACTAGTAGTTTCTCGTTTTATTACTAAAAAGCTGGTTTGTTACTGATAATATCAAGATTTTATTTTAAAAATTACGCATTTCCTAGTCGTAAGTCTCGCTCTAATAAATTTAATATCTACTATTGCTGATTTCAATTTCAAAAACTTTTCTTAACACTGATCGATGTTTTTAGATAGACACTAGCAACAAACGAATCGGCATGAGAGATAGAGCGACTCTCTCTGGTGTCAATGTTTTTTAAATAAAATGATTGCTCACACCCATATAAATCCATGTATCAGAGCTCGATGTTAAATATCTTTTTGCAGAAAGATATTTTTCTGACTACTCAAAATTGATAGTTGCATTACCACGGAATGATTGGCTATTACAAGAAAAACATTCGCAACAATTATTAGATTTGTCATATAATTTTGTTCAATATTGTAAATTTCACCAAACGTATTAAATAATACCTATCTAATTTTAATACACAATATGAGATTATTTACCGACTTGCATGACATTTCTTGAATGTAGCCCTTAGAGGTTGTCCATGCATTTTCGCTAAGAAAATTGAAACATGAGTAAAGAGCTTATCTTTCTGTTAAATATATAAATTCTATTAATAAGAAAACACACATTTACAAGTAAAGCAGAAGCATAAAAAATTAATCCTGATAAATTTAAGCAATCGTTGCTAATCTATAACCTTTTCTATATTTTCGAATTTGAATACAATAGGCAACGCCACCAATAAACAACAGAACTCCGACGATACTAATAGCTCGTATAAAAATTATTTCATTTAATTCAGTTGAATTCATCATTATTACATTATTAATTGATTGCCACGCATACATTTTGTCTAATGTAGAATTATATGAGACTTCACCAGTACAATGATTTTTTATGCATTGATAATCATTTGAATTTTCTCCAAACGTTTTGATATGTATGTAAACTGGATTTGTCGATGATTTATCTTTGCATTGTGCTTTTCCGTACGTAAAATTTTTCAATTCATCATAGACATTAAAACATAAATGACTAGTACATTCGTTCGTTGCTTGTTTTGCATTACAAATACTTGTTGAACTATGCGATGTTTTCCATAATGAAGTAAAACTAGTATGTAATGAATTATCATTAGAGTTGAGTAAGCGTTTTGCCCAGTTATTAAGAAATATTCTATCACAGAAATCCCCTGATGAACAACTATAATCAAAATAGCTTACAATTGATAGAATATCATTTTTATGAAAAAATATTGTTGAACCAAATTCAATGTTTGTATTATGCTGATGTGTCGGCGAGCCAAATTTTATAACAACATAATTATTTCTATCACCATTATAATCGATTGTTATGCGAACATTACAAATCGAATTATTTGCAATAACTTCATTCTTAATATTAAATAAGATCGATGAAAAATCATTCCAGTTAAATGTATGTCGAGAAAAATAAAATGAACCTTTTGAATAACAAAGAAGAGCGTTAAGATTTTGAACAGAAACTAGAAGAAGAAGAATAATCTTCAACATTTTCTTGACTAGAAATGAATGTAATATGATCAATGGTTATATTATATCACTTAATGATAAAAGACGGCGAATGAACAGATCAAGATTGAAGCTCGTGATTTTTTGCAAATAAATTATATTTGTCAATTATAATTAACAAACATGAATCATCAACCAGTGAGACTGATAAATGAGCTTTCCATTCACGAACATCACGAATGTGGCTTTTCCAATTAGGTCTTGTATTTTTTACAATTTCTTTTCTTTTTGTCTTCTCCTTCTAGTTTTTTTTCTTTTTTTTATATTTATGCGTCCTTCATATTAATCGATGCGCTATTATTTTTCTTCCTCTTGTTCGCACCATGTCGCTTCATCTCGGATTCGGTTACTATTCAGAAAAAATTATTAATAGAAAAAGCAAAGACATGATAGAAATATCATTCTATAGAAATTTTTGGTGCACGTAGATTTATTGAAAATAATTTGCAATTCTAAATTCTAATTATTTTATAGATCCCAGCTAGTAAGTTGCATAGATATAATCAAGCGTGTCTATTGGAATTTCAGATACTATTAGATAATGTTCATAAAAACACAGCGTTGACCTATAACAAGAGAATTGCCAAAAAAATATTTTATTAATATCTTCATCTGTTTATGCAGCACAAAAATAAAACGGTAGATCAAATTTATTGAAAATTTCAAACTAAAAATTTAGTTTCGATTTACAATTGGTTGATCACACCAGGGCTGGAACCGGTACCGAACCGGACAGGACCGGTTAAGAAATTCAACCGGGCCGGTAAATACCGGAAAATCGCCGGTTGAAATTTTAAAATAACTATCTTCATTTAGCTCTGTTTTGTTAAAAAGATGTTTTATCAGTATATATATATACATTTATTTATATATAAAAAGTCCTATAGATCTGTTGATGCTGCAAAATTTTTGTGGAATTCAGAAGAAATCTTGATTATAATCATAAACACCAGTAATAAATCTCATTTTCTTTCATAGTAAAGAGAAATCAACGGAAGTGCGACAGTTGATCAATTTGCTTGGTCAATGCATTATCAACAGTGATCTTTTTTTCTGTCGTGCTTTATTTCTTTCTCGTCCGTCTTTGCCGGAATTTCACCGGTTCAAGAATAATTTATGTCCGGCCGGTTTACCGGTCGGACCGGACCGGTAAATGTTTTTAACCGGTCGGACAGGACCGGTTTATAAATATCTTACCGGTTCCAGCCCTGGACCACACGGCTATGTTTATTAACCAATTGATTTATTAAATGTACTATTTCCAGGCATTATGGCAATCTCTTTCATAAAAGTACTACATATTTGTGAATTAAATTTTCGATTGTTTTTCTTTTGTAAAATTTGACATAACACTTATCGGAACTTAAAGATATGCTTGTCCGTTGTTATTATGATGGAAATAAGTGAGCGTTAATTCGTACGCAGAAGAAACAATTAAAACACAATGCAGTCAAAAGCTAGAATAATTATAGAGAACGATAAAAAGCATTTTCTTATTAAAAACTAAACATTATGGGCAAACTGAAAGAAAGAAAAAAGTCGTTGATAATATAAGCAAAGCAGAAAACAGCCTCCAACAGCGTTATGTGAAATCATGTCTGTCTATGAATCGATGGGAGCTTATACTGAGGCTAGAAAAAATTGTCATTATCGATTAAAAAAAACTATATTTGTATACACAAAAGAAACATATTACGATCATCTTTTATTTAGATAAGCATCGTTTGATTGAGTTCTTTGATAGTCCTGTATGCTAACCAATATCAATATTGTGTTCGAATGATCCTTTTTGATCCTAGAGTTCCACTTGAAGCTATCAATAGTTCATAATTGTCAATAGAAGAAGAAAAATCTCGAAAACTAACAATGCGTATTTTGTCGTCCATCGAACTCTTCACTATTGAGTGACTTCGATTATGCTCTGTGAGTTTTCTTCACTGAACATCAATAATAATTGAATTAGTATAGATGTTAGTGATTGTTCGGGTGTAGTTCTCTCTCAATTGATTTATGATAGATATAATTCAATTAGTATGGTCTAACCATTGATATGGAAATTTAAAAAAACACGAGAAATTCTTTCATTCAACTTGTAATATTTGTGAAAGCCTTGTACATAAATAAAATAATTTGATGCGATTGTCTTTGTTATTTTCTTAGCGTTTTTTCTTATGTAAGCATCAGTAGTCTGACCACGTTGTCGTGTCGGATGACGCAAAGTTAATTTGATGTATTTCATCATAATTCAAAGAGGGCAAACAAGGAGCGTGGAAAGTTATAAAACTATTGTAACGTACAGATGCACTACTACTATAAAAAATACTCCATTGATACTCTACGTTTTTTTATAAAAACAAAATGTCCACAGGAAACATCTAGAAGACAATTATGATAATTATGATATCACGTCACGCGATGTGTACTGGTGAATAATTGGGTAACCGTATGCCGGTAGAGAAAATCAGCCAAAAGAAATTATATTCACATACTAATGACATCTCATAGTAGTAGATTGAATTATTTCGAGATGGCTTTAAGTAGACCTCAACTATTGACGTTACTGGATACTCGCATGATCAAGTGTATACAAATATAATTCACAAGAGTAATAATTAAATAAATAAATATTATTGCAGACAGTGATGGAAAACTTCAATACAAAAAATGATCATGTAGGGGATTCGATAGCAAACCATTCACTTGCTACAAAATAAGAAATATACAGATAAGGAAGACACTTCTGCGATCTAACTATGAATGAGATTTGTAAAAACTTCACGATGACAAATGAAAAAAAAAAATCTTTTTTTTTAATTTCCATTAACTGTAATATAATATATGATTTCAATATTGAATATAGCGAGATACTGATGTCGAATGAATATTTTATCAAGATTGTTTCTACAAGAATTTGCGTAAGCGAAAAATAATGCCAGTATGCTTCGAAGATCAACTGAAACAAATTAATTCAATAAACTTGAATATGATTCTGTTTCATTGAAATTCAATCAACTGAAAAAATATTAGAAAATAAGATAATTATACGCGAAACGCATGAAATAGTGTTTTCATGTATTTTGAATGCTTTTGTCTTGCCAATAATACATCAATCAATGAATTGCATCGTTTTCGTTAGAGATGAATATAATGAACTTGAATTTTCGAAATTTACTGGCGACTGTCAGCAACGTTGTATCATGATAAGATAAAAAACAAAATCCTCAGCGAAAAAGTCTGCCAGTATAATTCCAAAAGAGAATAGCTTCGAAAGCAAAAATATTAATGACTGAAGAAAATCCGAGAATATTTTTTGCTCGACTCACTCGTGAGAAATAAAATTATGAATATTTCACTTGAATAAAGTTTTGACATGTCTTGGTATTAACTAAGGCAGCACAAAAAAAAGACAGTAATAGCAATGGAAGTACTTGATGTTTAATTAATGAAAGTGATACTTCGTATATCAGCGATGTATAAATAAGAAGAAAGTAATGTTGATAGATGAATATCTCACGGAAACTAGTTATAGTATAGTATGCCACGAGTGTTTGAATCGGTACATTGTTCATATTTGATATCTCTTATCGTCGGAACCTATTAGGATATTTGGTCGGATAGCAGAAATAGAGCAAATGAATTTCTCGCGATGTTCATGCTATGTTTCATTTCAATATTTTTGCTAATTGTTGCGTACATCTGAATGATTCATAGCATTACACTTTATCATGAAGCTTGTAAGGTACTTCACAAAATTAGTGGCCATTGCGGTTTTTCTTGTTAAATTTTTTTGGAATGAATCCGTAAGGGCTCTTTAACTACTCTAGTAAACGACTGTATTCATGCAACCTCTACATAGCGCATAATTAGCAGATTAGCCTGCAAGCGAAAAAGTTCATTATAATGTCGCTCTTTTCAACATTCCGAGGTCTAAATAAATGTCAATGTGCCGGAAATGTATATGCACCTTCACAAATTGCCTGTAGCAACAAGAAAGAAAGAAAGAAAGAATGAGTTATTTCTTACTCATCTAGAGAACTTGTAGAAAAGACGTTCAATTTCATTCAAATATCTTGATTGTATTTATTTAGAAAAAGGATAGTGCAAACAAGTTATTAAATAAAATAAAATATTTTATGGTTACATGAGTTTTTGTATTAAATACATGATGCAAATAACCGCGATGCTAACGACAACAGTGATGAGGCAAGCCTTTTTGATCTAAATAACTAGAAATAACAAATCTGTGAATTAAAAATATCTAAGTTGATGGTACTAACTCTTTTTGCAGATCGATCTAGACTTTTAGTGGCACAAATGATACTTTTACTTCTCTCAATCCGAACGACTGCTTCGGAAACATATTGTTCAATAGAATTTATATTCATTCCCTAATGATGAAAAACAAAAGAAATAACTATTCGAATTCAAACAATAAAGCAAAGAACATCGTACTTGTGTTTCGACTAAGTTCGCTAAATCAATGCAAATATTATCTAATTCTCGAATATTACGTTCGAGTTTCAAAATATCAGAATGGCGTCCTTCCAGATCATGCAACATTTGTTTTGATTGTTCTAGATCAGCCATGATCTATAATTAAAATAAAAATGTTATCATCAATTCTTTTTGTTGGCTATACTTGTCGACCAAAAGTTGGATGTCCGTGTTCAAGAATTTCGGCTAACTCATCTTCATTTTTTTCAATTCCAGCTAGAAAAAATGAACGTTTAAATAAGAATGATTAAATGGTAAGAAAAACTGACCTATTTGAAATTGACGAGCAACTCTCGCTCGGCATCGTTCTCGATAAGCTATTTCTGATGCATAATATCTGTTCATTATATCACAGAAATGTTTTGTCATAATGTTGACATGAGCTTCAGCAATACGATGACGTACAGTTTTTTTATCGGCATCAATCTGAATATCTTCGATTTTTTTCATTTCTATAAAACAAAACTTTATTGATTTCAGCTGTTAAGAAGCTTTTCCTTCGTTACCGCTCAAATATTTTCTAACATTAGTACTTAATCGCCGCATTTCGGCCATATTTTCGGCAAGGTAATTTTGCTTTTCTGAAGATTAAATAGTTTCATTTCTTTAAAAAGCAAACTTTTCAAGAGATAACTTACTGAAATCAAACGGTGATGCTAGCAAAGCATTTTGTAAATGTTCAATAGAACCGATGACTTCAGAAATTCGATCGATAGTATTCCAAAGAAGTTTGACCTATGAATACATATTTGATGTATTTTCAGAAATTCTTGTTACAGAAAACTCAAAAAGAATTATGCAGTATAAAATGAGAAACTGAGGAATTACTCCAGAGACAATGAATTTAACAATTTACTTCACAAGATTTATCATAAAAACTTCATATTCTCTGGTAAACTTCATGTACTCACTTTATCAAAAAAATCTTTCATGAATGGTCCTGCCATGTCGACAACAGCAAAATGATTGATAATACTGATATCTTCATCAATTCCATATTTTTCAGCCTAAAATTATAAAGATTGTTGATGAAATTATGTGATAGAGAATTGAAGAAAATAATTTATACATCAGCTTTTAACTGTGGAAGTCTATCTTTCGTCATTTGATAAATGTTAAATGATGTTAATTATATTGTATATAACAATTTAAAACTCTAGTTTCTCCTTCTATTTTTTTTCCTGCTAACATAACAATGAAAAAATTATTTGAGTGAGTCATAATATTTTGCGTCATCATATCTGCCTCTATAGATAAACTTCAAGGCAAGTCTCACTGACATTTCCACCTTCATTGTATTCTGCTAATATTTGCTGATGTTGACTTGATTTTATCTCATCAGACCAGTGATAGATAACTGGAAAAAAATGGGTTCACAGCAGATCTCTGCGTGCGACGTCCCATGGGACGGGATGGGACGAACATTTTTAGAAAATTTTAAGCGGACAAGAAAGAATTGAAGTCTCTTTCGAGGTGATTCCATCAGTGACCGCTTTCAAATGTTATTTTCATATTTTAAAACATTTTCGGTATATGTTGTTCAATTTAGCAAAAATATTTTTAACAAACAAATACAAGCTTTTCAAAGTCATCTAGCACAACGGTCTTAATTTTAATGGATAGAGATACTGTGCATATCATAGAATCATATGGAAAGAGATTTTGATTCTTTCTTGTCTGCTTAAAATTTTCTAAAAATGTTCTTCCCATCCCGTCCAACGTGGAGCCCTGGCTCACAGTATATCGCTTTACGTCAATCCTTTCTTTTATTGACTTGCGACCAGGTATTGTTGATTCTCTAAATGAGTCAATGTTGCCACATACGACTTTGTCATGAATTTGAACTATATATGTCATGCCTATGACGCACACTAGAAAAAAAAAATAATGAAAACACATAGATTGTTAAACTTATTCACAATATTTGTTATGTTCTCTGGCTAATTCTTTGTTAGCAATATGTTGACTACTTTCTTTTCTTTTTTAATTTTACCGAATGAAAGAAGTCGAGAAAAATTAATCTTTTATGTGTAAAATTTCGCATGAAATCTATCTGAATACTTAGTCTGCTAACATTACGATCTTTCATTTTATCGAAAGATAAGAACGGCGAGATCTACATAGCTAATATTTATGAAATAGAATATTTACGCTTGAAATTCATTAATTCATAATCTCTCCGGTCATTCGAAACTTGTTTATACCCATGTCGCACAAACCGATCGAAAACCGTCGGTTAACCGTGGTCAATTTTTATAAAAATCGGTTAACCGCAGTTATTTAAGCCATTTTAGCGCCTTTACAGCGTAAAAACCAGCGGTTAACCGCGGTTAACCTCCCAGTTAACCGGACAAGTCATCGGTTATGTCGCTAGCTGTCCGGTTATTTTTCCGGTTAACCGTTGGTTTTTACGCTGTAAAGGCGCTAAAATGGCTTAAATAACCGCGGTTAACCGACGGTTTTCGATCGGTTTGTGCGACATGGGTAGTATTTCATTTTGTTTTCACAGCAAGAAATCATTATCTTAATTTTATGCAGTGGAACATTTGTACTAAGACATGCTAAGTGATACAAAACAAAATGTCTCATACTGTCATGCACAATATTCAATTATGAGTGTTCGACAGTAAATAGAGATTTAGCGGCTGTTTCAAAGAAAAAAAGGCATACGTATTTCAATGGAATATGAATTTTTTACCGACGGTTTTTTATAAATATTTTACTATTTTCCTATGAAACAATATTCACAACACCGTATGACTAATAGAGAGGCAAGATATTAGTCAAAGAGATTTAGCTACATAATGTTTTAACACATTTAGTCACATTTCCACACATTTTTACTGTAATATATGACGTATTATTTATATTGAGATACAACTAGAAAACATAGTTTCTAGTTATCTTTTGAACACCATATTCTAATGTAACTAATTGAATAACAAAGTAATATATGATCCAAATGGAATGGTGCTGATTAATTAGTACTTTTTATTGTTGTCAATAAAGCTACGATTTGTTCACAAACACTATCCGTTTAGAGTAAGATGATGAGATCACAGATATTATGTTTACATTGTGAGAATATGCTCGAATTACTTTCTCTTCATCGAAATCTTTGTTTCTTTTGCATCTGAATTTGCGTACAGAATAATATTACTCTTCGAAGCTTGAGTACTTCAAAGTAAAAATCGATGTATTCGTATTATTTCTTTTATTTCAAATATAATATTGAGTTGAAAATTGAAATGAAAAAAGAAAAGTCGCATTTGATGATGATGCAACATTCGGAACCATCACTTCAATCATATTTACAGTCTCGATCAATATATCAAAAACTTGCTCGATTGATGTTATTTTTCCTTGTGAATCAGATGCCATTGAAAATGTAAACGCTAACACTAAAGCAAAAAAATATTTTTTCCAATAAAAATCTTCAATCTCTACTAAACTCGTAAGAATAACCAGTTTTCATCGTCCCGTTTTCAAAAATACCAATTCTTGTTTTGAATCGACTAACATTGCAACTTCTGCGTTATTCCGTACTAGTGTCACTGGAATGATGAGAGTAATATTTGCCACAATTGTTTACATATGTTTTCTCTCTACAAACAGTGAAAGTAATGTAGAATTTATGAGAAGTATTCATAAAAAGTCTGCTCTGTATAGGCGCAACAATCAAATCGTCATCTAGTTGCACAGTTGATCAATGCAGTTAGAGTAATCAAGCTAGCAGCTGTTCGTCCGCAAATGCCTGCTACCGTTTTGAAACATCAAAAAATACAACATTATGTGCACCTCAAGTAGCCTGTTCATTGTTCGATGCTTGTACGAATGTAAGAACGTGTTCGTCGAATGCAACTGCATGCGCCTTAAATAGTTGCTGTCCGGCATCCATTTGTATGCCTCTAGCATTGTCTAACACAGGTTCATCAACAAATAATGTTGCTGCAAGTTCTACAACACCTCGAACGCCAACGTCAGGTATGTACAAAGAATAAATGGGTTCCGGTTACGATTTGAATAAAACACAAAAATCTAGGTGACAGAATCCGATCAAATCTTATAAAATCCGACCAAATCCGACAACCGAATTCGATAGGAATTTTAGGAGTCGGATTCCAGCGAGGTCTTAAAGAAATCTATCGGGTTTTGATTGGCTCCTGCAAGAATCGATCGGATTCCAACAGTAGGGATCCGTGAGTGGGCCCACAACCAGGATTTACTTAGAATCCTGCAGCAACCGATCAAATCCGGTTGGATTCAACTATCGGATTGTTCGTCCTGGGCACTCATTTTTTTCCTGTTAAATACTAATTCAATCATTTCATTCTGAGAATTCAGGAGCTAAGTTTTAATCAAAAAACATTTTCAGGTCAAATACGAAAGGAATTCTATCAAATCTAGAATACTTTCTTCAAGCCAAAATCTAGATGGGTGAGTGTATTAGTGATCAGGATTATGAAGAACTTAAGTTGTAGAGCTTACATTAATTCCAAGATGATTTTCTGTTGTTGTTCGGCGCAATTTCGCAGAAACTCTAGTTAGATAGTGTCGGGGTGCAGAAACCATGAGACTTGATTAGAACCGGAGGAAAAGACTGACGTTTGATCAAACTTATCGAAAAAAATTAAAACATTTTCTGATTGAGACAATGCTTCCCAGTTTCATTAGTTTCCTTTCAGGCTTTGGTCATACTTACTGATTTGGAACAGTAGGCAACTCTATCGCTATCTGAAATCATTGAATCGTTCTTCATATTTGAATATCTGAGATACTGCGCTAAGACTCTTCCTGTTTTTAATATTCGCCAATTGTTCATTTCATCATTGTGCTATCTTTTCGAATAAAGTGACAGATAATATTTGTCCAAATGCAATATGGAAGCCTATTGAAGAAGCAGTGGTAAATTCGATGTCGATCAACGTTGATACCAGGTACATGTACGCTAGTGATTTCTATATGAATGCGGAAGACAATTACATCATAAGTAGTATATATAGAGTGAACCCATGGAGACCCATCCACTTTTTGGAAAAGTTCTTTTTTCGATTTCTTTTCAGTCGAAACTTCAGGTATGTTGTAGAAAACACTTTTGATGAAAAACATGACCTTGCCAGCGGAAAATATCGAGTTCTGGTTGATTTTTTCGGGACGACTATGGTATATTGTCATACAAAGGGAAAACGTGAGGAAAACACCTGAAACTTTTCTAAAATATCTTTTTCAGAATTTTTTTCATGCTGAAATATATGAAAACTGTTTTGAAACACTTAAGATAGAAAAAAATTAGACCACTCCTATTGAAAGTCTTGAGTTCTGAGTCATTTCTTCTGAAAATAACGATGACTGTCGTTTGACATGCTGAGTGATACTAATCTATTTGAAGAATTTTCATTAGACTAGCGATAAAGATGATGATGTTCAGGATGATATATCGCTGTTACAATAGATGACCTGACGTGCTTGGTGACATCGAATTTACCCCGAACCATCAGCTTGAGACTGAAAGAATCTGGCATAGTAGTAAACTAAGAGAATCTTCCGATGTGTTGAAGTACTGAATATCACTGTTAAGTTTCATTCCACAAAATCTGATATATTGAAATCGGCATAAAAAAAAGAAATTTATTTAAATGTAAATGTCCTGATGTGTGTTGATCGAGATATTTGACGATATTGAGCCGTTGTGTGACTAATCTATTGGAATTCATGCATCATTCGGATCCTTCGCATTGTACTTGAGGATGTGTGAGCGTGCGTGTTGCTATTCTAACTGCTTCACCCACACACCCACGCTCTGATAAAGGGTATTTATAGCAATCTTGCAGAAATGCCATGGAGTCAAAATATTCCTACTTTATTAAACAGAAATGTAAAGATTATTAATCGAAACCACATGAATACAGATATATAAAAATCTACTCATTTATGACAATAAATGATGGTATGAAAGATAGAAAGTGAGATTTTATTTTAAAAAGACTAACAACGAATAAAATAATTTTGATAATAATGACGTCCATATATGGTAACTAGTCCATGTGTCAGAATCCTACTTTTCGTATTGAAACTCCTCTATTTGGGTAGAGACCGTTTGAGTTGTTCTTTTGCATGGCTAAGTACCTAATAAAATACAGAGAAATCATATCATACTGTGTACTTAAATTGAACAACGTGCAATCCCTGCAAGGCAACAAAATCATCATGCTGTTCTCTTATGCTCTTTATTTTTATTAATCAATGAATTATTAATACAACGAAATGTACACTATATAGTTAACGTCTAAATAGTGATAAAAACGAGAGAATGGAGGAAGATAATGAGTTTGCATACACGCACATAATTAATATTTTTGTGGAACTCACATATATTTTCGAAGAAAATGGTGAGTGTAAGTTTAAAGCCGAGATTTTTGCGGCTCCCCCCCCCTCCCCATTGCAGACATCAATGAGTTTAAAATTGTGCTAATTAGAATCTTGACTAATTAGGCTGNTCTACATACTTCATTCTCATTTGTGCTTCCCATAACATAGAATAGTAAGTCAACATTATTTCGATAGACAATGGTCCAATTATCAAGAAGAATAACGTCGCCTGAACCTTTATGTGTTTTATTAAAGAGAGATTTTTCAAAATCTTTTTGCTCTTTTAGAGTTACATATGAATTACTGTAATACTAAATAAACATGATAGAAAATATTTATTTATTGACAAATATTTATTTGATTAGTTTACTTTAGATAAAAGTCGATTTCCATCAATATCCAATATAATAATACCTTTAATCACATAGAGTGAGGGTATCTAGAATAAGATAACTGAGCATATTTTTAAGAAATAAACATAGGGAAAGATAACTTACACAGATACTATCGAGCAGCATGCAATCAATTTACGACTTGAAGACAATATCAACGATATAAAACAGGGTTTCAAATGGAAATCTAAATTGAAAATGCCCGGTACACTTTGTACTACACGAGTAAAGTTTATTAAAGTTTATGTAAACAGAAATTTCACAATCTAAACAACAACTTATAATTTTGTTCTCTTTTATACAGTAAAGTATCGAGTTGAACACACGAGGTCACATCTACCATTGTGTAAACATAATCTTGAATTTAATACTATTGTTAATGATAGAAGTGTATCAGAATCAATATATAATAAGAATAAACTAGATGAGTAGCTTACCATCCCTTCAGTAATTATGTTTATCAGCTAGTTCATATGTTCAGAGTGCATCTAATTTGCATACATCAAACATTTATATACGAGAGAGAGGGGAGGAAAACCATTGGGGCGTGTCATCAATGTTAGCACGACTATATGTAATTTTGGGGGTTCAGAAAAAGAAGACTATAAAATATTTTGAGCAAAGTATACAGCAGAGTGTAAAACAAAAGCAGCAGACACTCTGCTTTATAGGCATGCTATTGAAAATCCTGATCCTAAATAACGAAATAATATACGTCCCAGTGAATATATTGCGAGAAGGACAATCTATGACGTGACTTTGTGATTGTGATTGCCTTCTTCAATCAACCGTATATAAACAAGGGGTGCTCTGTTGATCGTAATTGAGCGACAACTATACAATATTCAATTATAGGTTCCCTATAAGGAATAGTGAAAAGAATGAATGAATGAATGCATGATTTCTGGACAATCAGAATTTGTTTTTAGTGCATCCAGTGTGATGGTTTTCTTTTTATCAATCGATTTCCATAATTGAGCAATGCTATAAAAGTTTTTTCAAGAGGAAAAACACGAAAATTCCATAATTTTAATTTATGTCATGATTAACCTTCAGCACTTTTCATCTATGTTCAAAAGACTCAGGAGAATAATTCAGATAACCGGAACCGATCCGATCCAACAGTAGTCTGATCGGATTTGATGTATTTTTCTGTAAAACCGATGAATTCCTGTCGGATCCGGTGGAACCCATCTCAGGGCTCTAACTAGCCCCTAGTATTGGCTGCAGATACAAAGTAGTATATGAACAATAAAATATGAATTTCCCGTCCGATCCCTTTGTAGTTCCTCAACCGGGAGTCCTATCAGATTTCGTCGGCTAGTTGAATCTTGTAAGACCAGATCGAATTCACTCACCTGGGCAGTAGATATGTAAGAGATTATTCAAAATAAGATACATCTCATTTATACACATAAATGGGGAATATTTTCACTTAGTATGCAAAATCGTTACAGATTACATATTTAAATTTTAGTTCTTTCAAGATATACCCGATAAGTTGTAAAAATTGCGTTCAACAAGTTTTACTCCATCATTTATGTTTTGTAGCAACGATGAAAACTATATTTTATTATCGATAACTATTTATCCAGAAGAATTTTATTTTTGCTCTCTTCTCTTTTCTACAGAAGATTAATTCATACTAACGAATTATACGTGTAGGAGCAATTATTTTATTTAATTCTTTCACAACATCCGTACTCATTAAAGTTATCCTTAGTCTTAATAATGAAAGCACAATGTTGACACTTAGTTGCCAACACTCTTGTTGCTTTACTTTGCCGACTTGTTATCTTATTTCTCTTTTCTATTACTTGAAGAATCATAGCAAAATAAAAATTGAACTAAATCTAGATTACATTTAGAAGATATAAAAACCCTTAAAAACAAGCGATAAAGCATACCTGAAAGTCACTTGCCATATTTTCATCATACCATACGACATATTATCAATTGTGTTTAACCATTTATTTATTTATATAGTCATTACGTTGCTTGAATTGCATTTGTTTTGCATATTTGCGCAAGTAAAGCAAAAATTTATGACAGACTGTCCACAAACACTTGATGATAACAAAAAGTAAAATATAAAGGAGGACTATTTTCAAAGACCATACTACTCGAAAAGGCCAGTAGTGTCAAACTTGAAATTTGAATTCAGTTGAAAAGAAAAAATTTCAACTTTCAACTCATAGCGATATATGTGTGAGTCACGATTCTTCAGAATGCTGTTGGTTTAAAAGTTGAAAATTGAAATTTTCAATTTTCAATTGAATTCAAGTTTCAAGTTTGATATATAATTATATGGAAAAGGCACAACACTTGCTCCTGATAAAGTTATGTCGCCTTTTCAGTTATTACCCATTGATTTTATCTATCAGATTCTGGATAAATTTGATGGTTTTACACTTTTCTATTCAGTCAGTAATGTATCTTTACGACTAAACGCAATCCTGGATGCATATGATTGATATCAGGTATTATTGATTTGCAGCATGAAATCACATTTGTTTTTCGTCTTCAAACCACCATCGAATTCAGCAGATGATTGTTCAATCTATTTTGCTGACTGACTCTAGTGTCGTAGGAATTTGAGCAATATTTTTGGTCACGGTAAATGTCATCCAAAAGAAAGCAATTGATAGCAGTATCTCAGCCCATATGCTGAGAATTTCAAGTTTCTCACTTTCTATTGCACAATTGTAATAAATAGAAAGCGAAACTTATATATTTTCAGAGCTTATCGTATTTATATCTGTCTAGTTTTTATTTTCACTCAATTGCTGTAAAACTGACTTCTTTACATTAGTCTCAGTGGTAGTCATTGAGACGACATAGTTATATTTTATGGATTTATAACACTTCCAGTTTCATTAAAGAAACGAAATTCTCAAATAAACTTCTAAGAAACTTCAGAAGATAACATACAATCCGAACTCAGACAACTTCATGTAGTTCAGAAACACCCTTAAACTATATTAGTGGTGCAATCATTTAGTTGAGTCAACTAATTACTATATCGTCGAAGAGAACGAATACGAAACGGCTCATCTACTATTCTGGTATTTTGATAGTCATAGTAGAGTGCAAGACATGTGGATAATATATAACTTTGTAAAAATCATCCGCAGCAGACCTGCATCATAGTAAATGGTTCATTAAGTTCAACGATGTAACCATTATCTGTTGTTAACATGTTATCTTGTTCAAGAGTATTGTTACACCAGAACTGCCTGACCCTTTGTGCTACCGTTTGCAATTGACATATATGCCTTCGCGTTTCAAAACTGTTGAAAAAAGGAAGAAATTCATAAAATCATGCGTACACTTCGGAAATGCTCTGAATAATCTAAATTCGACCTACCCTGAAAACGTATTCGGGAGAGAGATGCCCACAGCGGATACGCTTTTCCTCCTTTCATTCCGTATCCCGTTATTCATATCTTAGCTAGATTATGAGAACCGTACTTCAGAAAAAAATTGAATTTTTTCACAATAGGCGCAATAGTTGCTTGCTGTACGCATGTACTACTGCACGTCAGAATCAATCCAATAGTGAAAAGGTAGTTTTGATAAAAATTGAACAGTGCTCTCTTCATTTTGTTTACAATATCTTTTTTCTCAAGCACGGCAGACGTTGAAACAAACATTATCGGATACAGGAACTTCAAAGGAGAGATCAAGTGTCGATCTACTGTAAACAGTAATAAGCAGTACAACAAGCAGTTTGGGTGATGTTGAATTCCGCTACAATCCATTTCTTCTTTGAATGCGACTAACAACTCATCCTGAATTTGAAATTCTCACTGGGTATGTGACATTTCTAATCGTATACCCTGCTTCTAACAAGAATATTTTTCTGAGAAGCACTAAATGAACTCGAAGATTTACCACAGGCTATCAGTCCGATAGCAAGCCCGTGTTCACCCAGCTAACACATATCGTCCCTCTCTCTCTTACTAATCATCCTCTTAGTTCCCTTTCTAGAAAATGACCACACTAGACCTAGCTAGCAAATATATCGGACATCAAGAGGCAAAACATCTTGTCAGTGATCTTAGAAACAATACGGGGAGTACCATCTGACTTTTAACTGTATTTAAACTTTCAGTTATACTGACAGACATTAAGCACACACTCAATGTGTATTCAAATGCTATCGCAGAAAAAGGGGTATAGTATCTTACCAGTGCTCTTAACTATAACACGACAGAGCACCATCTTGTTTTTAACTCCATCATACACTTTCAGTTTCGCTGATAGACATGTAATCTGTTTTTGAATTCTATCAGAGAGGAAGGTGCGGAACACCTTGCCACTGCTCTTAGCAATAGTATGGTACAACACCATTGTTTTACGAAACTCCGTTTACGCTTTTATTTTTACATTTAGACGCTGAGCACATTAGATCTAAGATTGAATGATATCGGATTCCAAGAAGAACAACCTCTTGCTAGCACTATAAATAGAGGACGGGTTCAAATTTGAATTGGTGATAATTTAGACTACCTAGTGTATATATTTTATAAACGTATGCTGTCAGTTATTTGTGTTGCGTTCATATCAAAAAAATTCCTTATAAATTGTTTAACAAAATGGATAGTAGTGAAGGTATGTACAAATGAATCGGTGGACTAGCTTTCACGATTTCCGTTTCATAGTATGTTCACTCTTATAGTATGCCGGGATCCTTAGGCTATGGTTGATGGGGGTTTAGAATAAATGATTATGAGTTAAGGTTGACGTAGAACTGACTAATAGTTCGGTTGAGTGATGCATCCGATGTATTAACAAAGTTCTAGTCGAATTAATAAAATATGGTTTATTCAAATTCATCGTTGAGTTAAACTTATTTTTCAATCTTCGTTATTTTTGTTCATATTTGAAGAAAAATATTTGTTTTGATTTTGGGTTTCTGTTACATCGTTAACAGATAATCATGTACTTGCGCTAAGCTCTAATTTTATGGTTGACTTTTGTGAAGATTTGGATTCGCTACTATAAATCGTCTATTGAAAGAACACTGTATGATTTATATTTGGTGTACTAAGAGCACTCGAAGTTCTATATAACAGTCCGTTTTCCGAAAAAGAACTAATGAGATAAGCTTATCGTTTTATCATCATCATAATTGCTGTAACCGAAATGTAAAGAATATTCTGCAAAGGAAAAGCTGATTTTGTTTTCATTAAATATTTTCATTCTCAGTGGATTCGTTTATCAATAGTTTAAACATATCTTTCGTTCATGTAAAATTATCGGTGAACACGAAATTCAGGTCAAGTATCGTACCTATAACTGCATCGTGACTTCGGGAGGTATTGAAAACGCAAGCATAATGTGCAGATTAGGCATACAAGAAATCACTGAGTTTGCTATCCGGATTGGTGTTCTTTTTTACAATTCTGACGCACCAAATCGAATATTTTCGTCATTCGATGACTATGTTGGGTTAAAATTTGAAAAGCGTCAAGATTTCGGTTTACGGTCCGCTGCGTATAATCAATAGTGATACCATTGACGAATTAATGCTCGATAACGATCACAGCAAACATAAGGTATAAGCTAACCCTTGAAAGCCGAAGCGACTCTCACTAATAGCACCATAAAGCTGATATCAAAATTTATGAATTGTGGATCCACATTATAGTCATGCTACTGCGTATAATCTCATGGAATGTCCTTGCAAGAAATATGATCCAGACTCTTGTAGAAATCAAATGCGCACGAGCGTGATTCTCAGGCTGAAATATTTGTGAGTAGCCTTGAGTATCGATCCGAATGTCTCTAGTACTTCTGTTTTCATGTTATTCTATACATTTGAAGACCTAACATGATCTTTTATTCCCATATCATGTCTCTATTTGATCTACTAGCTTTCAAATGACCTATGTAATAGTAGTTTGACAAAAACTTTGAAACTTCAATCCAGTCATATTAACATCTATCTATCTATATGTTAATATCAGTGTTTGTAGCGTGATTCCTCAATATGATTCGACATCATCTTCATGTTCGTATCTATTGTATTACTTTCAACTAGTCGGGTAAAAACTATCGCTTTACTGATTTTATAAAGGATATTTATAAAGAATTTTCCGGAAATATAATAGAATCAAAATCTTCTTGTTTTATTTAATGACAATGAGAAGATTAATAACCGAAATCATGCGTCTACAGATACATAAAAATTTATTTATCCAATGACGATAAAAGATGCCACGGTAGACACAAATTGAGATTTCATAAAACAATAACAACGACTAAAATAATATTGATTATAATGATACGCATACATGATAAATTGTCCATATTTTGTTTTTCGTGTTCAAACTTATCTATTTGAGTAGTGACCATTTGATTTGTTCTTTTGCATGGCTAAGTACCTAATAAAATACACAGAAATAATATAATACTGTGCACTTAAATTCAACAACGTGCAATCACTGCAAGGCAACAAAATCATCATGCTGCCCTCGTATGCTCTTTATTTTTATTAATCAATGAATTATTAATACAACGGAATGTAGACTATGTAGTTAGCGTCTAAATAGTGATAGAAGCGAGGGAATGGAGCAAGATAATGAATTAGCATACACGCACATAATTAATATTTTTTCTCTATCGATCACCATTGAAGAACATATTGAATCCCTGAGAGAGAACCTGATTGACAAAATATGGTTATATCTCGGATGTATTACTATGATTCTTCTTTTTTTAAAATTCGAAATTACTTACTTGAGAAACAGTCTGTTCGCCTAATGGAATGTCATCTTGTCGTAGTTGAACACGTTGCGTAATTAATATTGGATCAGTTTCAAGAATAATTCTTTAAACAAAAGAGGAATCAAAATATTTGAGAAAAAACAAAACTATCGTTAAGTTACCCATCGTCACAAATTTCATCAAATGTTAGCATAACTAAATCAAGATTGTCGTAAAGATGTCTTTTTTCAACATTTTTTCGCAGCATCGTACTCAATGAATCGAATAAACACGTTAAAACAGAATTTAACATCAACTGAAAAAAAGATACTCTATCAATAATATTTTGGAAAAGAATATTCATCTACATACTTCATTCTCATTTGTGCTTCCCATAACATAGAATAGTAAGTCAACATTATTTCGATAGACAATGGTCCAATTATCAAGAAGAATAACGTCGCCTGAACCTTTATGTGTTTTATTGAAGAGAGATTTTTCAAAATCTTTCTGCTCTTTTAGAGTTACATATGAATTACTGTAATACTAAATAAACATGATAGGAAATATTTATTTATTGACAAATATTTATTTGATTAGTTTACTTTAGATAAAAGTCGATTTCCATCATTATCCAATATAATAATACCTTTAATCACATAGAGTGATGGTATCTAGAATAAGATAATTGAGCATATTTTTAAGAAATAAACATAGGGAAAGATAACTTACACAGATATTGTCGAATACCATGCTATATAATTTACTACTTGAGGATAATATCGAAGATCTGAAGTAAAGAAATAATATACGTGTCAGTCGATATGTTGAGAAAAGAACACTTTATGACATGACATGACGCGAATGCCTGATTATGATTGCCTGTTTGGATCAACCGTATGGCAACAAGAGTTTCCTAGAAAATCGTAATCGAGCGACACCTACTGAGCACCCTGTTAGCGTCTAATGGAACTTGTGAAAAGAATGAATGAACTTTGAAAAATAGAAATAATGGGATAGTTTTCATTTTTTGTCGATTCATCTTCATTATGAACACTTGAAAATATTTCCAATGGAATATAGTATCTTGATGATAACCAAACACATGATCAATTAAGTACTGTTTATCAAATTCATACTATCCGATTATCATCATTCTTCAAGGTTTTTAATAGACAATCTCATTCATGCGACTTCAAAATTTCTGAATCACTACCATATTAAGTATGCAACAAATATTATTAAACTGAAACTATTGTTTGAAATTAATGATCAGTAGCTAATGCATCGCTTTTTCTTTTTTTTTTGAATCAGCTAAACTTCTATGCATATATCGGTTCTTACGTCCTACCTATCGTTTTTAAACTGATATCAACATAAGAAAACTGTTAATTCATTTTTTAAATCTATATCCATCGAAGATATTAAATTATATTAAACCATAAGAACGAAATTTCATTTCCTAGATGCTTTAAATTCTGCATGACAAAATTCATAATGCATCGGTGATCCAATAAATGTTTTATGAGTCTAATTTATCTGTAGAGAATTTTCACTAAAGATTGAATATTTATTTGTTTTTTAAGACTTTCATAAATTAAATAAAATTTAAATCGCAGTTTATTGAGTTATCTATGTAGTATCATGCGTGATCGTGACCCTGATCGAAAAAAACGTTGACGTTCGTGATTGAAACTAAAATATCGTGTTTCACGATTGTAATATATACATTTAAAGTACTAAATATTAAGGGCGCACGAAACCATTTTTATATGCATAAAAATTCTAAATTTTTATCATAAAAACTGCGCAACGCCAACCAAATCTTTGTGTTAATTATAACCAATCTTTTTCACTCTACCTGATATGAATATTATAGGTACCAAGACTAATAGAAAAAGTTCTCAGGTTTGGTAGGTCTTGGTGAAAAACACGACAATTTTCACCAAATTTTGCATATTTTGTCTTTTTTGTTATGGTAACTATATAGCCTCTAGGTTTTTCTCTCTTTTTGAGAGTGTTCTTTACGTTATAGATTGCTTTCCGAGCCTCCTTTTTCCATTAGGTTAGGTGTTTCTCTTTTTTCCGTTATAATCATTAACGCTGTGGTCCAGCTTTTTGGAATGTATATTTCCTTCAAAAATAAAATTCTTCCCAGTGAAGTGAGGTTAACTTGATTCTTCATTGACATATAGAACCATGCCATCACTAATGACACCGATTTTCGCAATAAAACAACGGAATGCTTAATCTCATATATTATCTGGTCATATAAGATCTTATTGATGAATCATACAAGAATCTTACCGTAATTATTGATGCAAGATTTCAGAGACGACGACTTTTCGTCGGATCTTACATGATCCTATACGATCGGATAAGAATCTGTGACCGATCTTGCTGTCTGATTTCTCGCCCTGGGTTGGAATTCATAGGAACCCGACACTGATGATCCAACTTCGAATCCGGAACCCGATGATAGTTCTATAGGGCCCGACAAAATCTGATAAGATCCTACTGGATGCGAGTCAGATCGAATGGGTTCCGATTGGTTCCCACTGTTGGATTGCTCGACCTGGGTATTTAAAAACATTTCAGATAAATCGAAATTTGCTTTGTACAGAATTTTTACTCCTAAACGCGGGATATTTTAAAATGTAAGACTTTGACATGTCATATTATCAGTATTACAACTGAAATGAGCCACGTTTAGCTTTGAAGTGAATAATTAGAATTTTCTCGCTTTTGTAATACAGCTCAGTAGAAATCACTTCGCACGTTTTTATCGGTTAGCATCAAATTAATAAATATCATGTTGATTGAAAAAATATTTTTGCATGTAAGTCAACGAAGCATCACAGAAATCTAAATTATTCTTGGAATTGTGTTCTTCATGAAATCAAATTCTATTTTTGTTTATTTCGTTAGCAGTTTCCTTTCATATTTATTCAATTCATTGCAGAAAGTTAAACATGTAATAGAAGATTGGTATTTCTGCAGGTGTATGAGAATGAGGAAGTTCAAAAATCAACTCAACAGAGACTTGATCGAATAACGTATTTTTCAAGCTGCTATCCATTTTCTTCAATCGGCTCCATAAACAAGTGTACCATCGTCTGATACTAATATCACAATAAAGAACACATTGTATGAAGGAGAAAGAAGAAACAGTATTAATTTAAAGTGTAATAAGATCATTAACTTGTGTATTACATATTAGTATGGGATATTTGGAATTATTTTTATGGTAAATATCAAACATTGATTTTGTTTGCTTTTCAAATTAATTCATATCAATTAGACTTAATTAACAGGCACTCAGTGAATCATTTGCGCCGAATTTTCGCTTTAAATAATTATGATTAATTAGAGAATTTACGCTAAATTTCATAATTTTATAGGTGAACGTATGAATATAAATAAATGTATAAACAATGAACTTATTTTATCTAATATAACATTGATGAGCTGTACGAATAGAAATCATTCATGAAATCTATTTTAACTATGGAAATAAGTGTATTGATCCATCTATTTTATCTCGTTTTAGAACGACTTTAATTCAAAAACAAAATCATTCACACTAATATAAAACATACTATCAATATAATTCTTATTCTTTCGTTTTTGTATTGCAGATTCTTGTACATGTCGTTGCTACTAGAGGTGTAAGCCGCCGCCGCCGCCGTCATATAAGCAGGAATACTAAATTTTTGAATATTTTCGATACTCAGAAACAGTCTTCAGGATTGTTCTGATCAAACTTCTAAGAACAACGTTCTATATTATCATTTTTCCATTTTCTGTTACATAATTTTCAAAACTACGAAAATTTTTTAAAATAGCTTCTGAAGATTTTCGAGCCGCCGCTGCTGACCGAGGCGTCGGCTTACACCTCCAGTTGTAATTCTCGTAAATAATATCGAACTTCGATTGCAAACGTTGACATAACAAAATCTGATGTCGGTTTTAAATGATTAAACATTTCTATTTCATGTTGATTTAACATTCGAAAATGATTAACTAATGTTGAAAATTGTGGTTTATGATTATTTCTATGTTTATTTTGCTCATGATAACCATGTAAAGTATAAGCAGACATTTTCATAAGACCAGCTTGAGCTGTTTTTGTAGAAAAAAACTCGCTAAGAAAAATATCATAGCTATAACCAGCCCAACGAAGTATTCGTTTGTCAATGGATTCAAAGCCATAAAGTTCCCAATAGCCAGCTGAAATATCGTCTGTTGTATCAGGTGAGAATTGTTCACTAATAATTGTTAAATAAAAATTATCATCGAATGGATATTCTTTTAGTAAAGTGCATGCAGTAGTTAAATCCATTATGCCTGCGCCAACAATGGTAATATGATACTTATTCGAAAACGGCATGTCATACGTAATCAGCTTCAACTATAATAATAGTTTTCATTACAAAATCACATGTCTGTTGTAAGAGAAAGAAAAAGACATTCGATTGACTCTGCATTTAATAACATGAGTAGAGCTTGGCTGTTGTTACGTATTGATAAACATTTGGCTTTATCGAATATTAAGCCAATAAATGAAGCTACTATAGATATTACATATGTTTGTATTCTTACAAGTTTTGATTATTTTCTCCTATGAAAATTGAGACGATATCAGAATAATTGACAGCAGAGATCTTATGTCTGAAACGAGGAGAATTCGGTTATGAGATTTCTAATTTCCAGTAACTAATATTTTCTCGAGTTTGACAACTAGAATTTACAATTTCTTAGCCTGAATTCAAATAATGAATCACTGACAATTCAAAAGTATGATCCTTTTCAATTTCAAGTTTGATTGAACTGAATAAATAATCTTTCGGGTTTATTTATTTTTTATTACTCATCCGACAAACAAAAATCAAACACAATACACATTGCCAATTTTAATTCTTTATTATTGTTCCTTTTTATCATCATTTAATGATGCTGCAGCCATTTGTTCAGCTAAACGATTTGCACTTTCTTCTGTTTTATCAGGAATAGTTGACAAATTTTTCTTTACGCTTTCAGCTGATACTCCGTCAGATTCGAGTAATTCATTAAAATCATCCTAGAATGAAATTTACTTTTTTTTTTTACACATATTGTCTTCGTTTCAAAATAAAGTTTACCTCCCAATCGAGTAGTTTAGCAAGTTCAGTAACGCCTTCATCACACGTACTCTTATGAAAAACATCACGACGATTTTTGCTCGATCCAAATAATAATGAGCTTGATCCCTTAAGAGAAAAACAAAATTTTTGTTTTGTAAACAATTAGTAAAAACTAAAATTTTACTAAATCCCAGACAGATGTTGCAGTTCCAGCTGGTTCCAAATTGATAAGAAGACGAGGACAATCTTTGCCAACACTATAAACAGATAATTTTAATAAAATAATTGAATTACTATACACCGAAAAATTCATACAAATTTGTAAGACGATTGAACGGTGCTACTTTTAATGATGTACCAATAATAATCAAAAAATCAGCTTTGTCAAAATCCTAATAAGAACAACATGTTTCAAAAATGAACAGTCTCATTCATAGCTTACAGTTTGGACACATTCTGAAAATCGTGCGGGCAAACTTTCGCCGAAAAAGACAATATCTTAACCGAAATACGTTTTATATAAACTTGACTCGTGTTAGAATGCAATACCTGGTTTAACTATTCCATCACATTCTGTACAATGTGGAATTTCATCCTTGGATATGATTTCTAAATAAAATAATCTTAATAGATTTTCACTAGGCGAATATCTTGATTGTGACTGCTCAAAAAGAAAAAGCTCTCACCTTTGACAAACTCTAAATCATATTCTTTGCGACAATTTAAACAATGAGATGCAAAAAATGTTCCATGTGCTTCAACAATTTTTTCTGGAGGTACACCAGCAATACGTTCCAACGAATCGATATTCTAATAGAAACAAAAATATTAAAATGCAACAATGATAAAGCTTTAAACATACTTGAGTGAAGATTCTTAATAGTTTACTCTTGTCATTTAACAATCGAAGAAAATAATGAGTTGGCGTCGGCTAAAATATTAACTCTGTGAAAAACTTTTCCAGGTCAATCAATATATACATACAGTATATTTTTGTGGATACAGCTCTTTGGCAAGTAAGAAGAATGGTTTTGGATTGTTCTAAAAATAAATATTGTTAAAGAAAGCTTTCTTTATTGCCCTAAAAGTCAATATACAAACAAACAAAAAGCTATCTGCATATCTTCCTTATGGATCTATTGAGAATATATATTTATAGAAGGCTGTAGCTCTCGTAAATTTCAAATATAAAATTCAGTTTATCAAATAGAACCATAAGGTAGATGTTCCGATGAGTGAATGACTTTTAGGATATTGTGTATGCATTTTACAAACTCGAAAATAATCCAGCTGAAAGATGGCTTCTGGAAACGGTAAATTATATTTTTCCAATTGTGAATAGAGTCCAGTTCCTGGCGAACGGAAATCTGGTATTCCCGCACTAGTCGATATTCCGGCACCAGCCATTACAATAACATTTGAACATTTACTCATATATTCGGCTGCACATTTCAGATCAAACGATTTTAATACGGGATTTTCGGCTGGTTCATTTGAAACGGCAGCACCCATCAGATTCGCAAATTTATTCATCACTAAATGTCATAAAAATAGAGCTATTCAAAAAATAGTGGTTGTTTTTTCATATATGCATACGTAAGCTTAGTTTTGAAGCTGAATCTTCTTCATCGTCTTCTTCCGTTTGTTTTTCATCTTTTTCATCAGCTGGTTTTTCTGATTCTAAAGGATATATTTTCTTTATACTTTAAATTATTAGATAAAATCAAACTTACCAGCCATGAAAGTGTTCTGGTTTTCAAACGATCGAAAAGAAAATCTACAAAATTATCTGAGTTTTAGAAAATGAAAAACTTCACATTACTAAATATGCTCTTTTTTTTTGAAAGACTATACATTATGTAAATAAACTATGAAATAGAAAGAAAAGTTTCATTTCGTATAATCATAATGAGCAAGTGATCGTGTTAAAAAAGTTGTTGGAGCACCGAGTTTGAATTGTTTATTGACTAATGTTGGAACCAGTTGATGAGCTAAAATATTATTAAATATTCTTTAGCTACACAAAACAAAAACTAATCTAAGAATATAAGCATCACAACTACCTATCAATTCTTATTTTCATCTAGTATACAACTACGACCTGAAATGGAATTATTTTTTTTCTGTTCTGTTCTTAAAACGTCTCACAATTCGACTCCGTCTATGATGAATTTCATAGTCGTCGTGAATTAACAAAATGAAAAATGACGATTTCATACCATTAGATGTTGAATCGTCTGCATGTGAATGAAAAATAAAATCACTTGATGCTTGCATTTCATTATTGCACGTTGAGACCTGTGCTTTTCGATTTTCCATTTGTTCTATCAAATCATTCATATCTATTTGACATGGCGCTGGCTTTATATGATTAAGAAACGTTCGGTCATTTTTATGTTTTATTTTAGCTGATGGATTTATAATTCTGTGGGTCATGTTTGATACTTTTTGTGTCATCAATGCTGTTTGTCGTTTAAAGAATGATTTTGATAATGTTAATCTTTTCAAACGATCAGTACCAGCAATCATCTTTTTCCTTAATAATATTGAATCTATTTAAAGAAATATATATTGTCGAGAAATCAAAACCGATGAAAATTACTGGAAAATGTTTTTATTGTTCGTCTTCCTTGACTTGATGTTCTTGGAGGTTTTGTTTGATATGACTCAATTAATTTTTGAATTTTATCATCAGTATTATCAATCACAGTTCGTTCAGGAACCTTGAAAAAAGAATTCATTTTTTATTTATCAATTATTGGGCGCTGAGCTTCACACGAAATGGTTTGGTAATAAAACAAAGCTATTTCTTAAAAACTTAAACTTATTCAATGATTCATAAGAAAAGAAATTACTCATGATTAGTGTATTTCGTGGATCAAGATCATGCATAGTCGTGCTCGAAGGTAAGATTTCACAATCACGATGTAATATTTTTTTTTTGTTCAATTCAGTACGATTACTGTTAGACATTCTAACGATGAACCGAAGGTAAAGATTTCTATTTCATTTGATCTCGTACTCTGAAATAACATCAGACAAAAAAAGTGAGATTTCATTTTACGTCTCTAAACACTAGGTGATATTATTCGTGGTTGTGAATTCAATTTCAGAAAATTCGTGATTGTGATGAAAAATATCGAACACACAGTACACTATCTCTGATAGCTTTCCTACAGTAAAACAATTGATTACAATTCTCACACTTTTTCTTGAACGAGGCTGACAATCTTTTACTTAAGCAAAACATCCGCTCATTTTCTGACTGAGTTCTACAGAGTACCTCGCGGCAAGGCGCCATTCTACATCAAACAAAAGATAAATACCGACAACGAAACTGAAGGGAACCTAAAAATGGATAATTCTATTCTTCGATATGAACCTCAATTGATTGTTCCGAGAGACAAGTATCATTGCCATTTGTGAATTCAGCATAAGAAGGATCTAAACAGAATTGAAAACTCGAGCCGATAAATATTTAAAATAATGCATACTAACGATTAAGACACGAAATTCGAGAAATTAATGCTGATGATAAATTAGATTTTGTTTTTCGACGTGACAGATTACCATGACAATTTTCAAGAACAGGTTTCGAAGCTAAAGTTTTCAATAAATATTTCTTATTCAATTGAAATATTTCAATTTACCAGTAAACTGTTTAGCTAACACAACATGTTCCTAAAGAAAATAATATTATAATATGCAAACTTCTGTTTATATATCTACTTTAGCACACGAAAGACGAGCGTGTCGAATTAAACAAACACGATCAAGTTGACTAATTATGCCAAGATTAATAAATTCATTTTCATCAGCAGTTAATAGTTCTTCGATTGTTGAAAATCGATCAGCTAATCTTGCACCATATTGCAAAAGAATGCTTTCATCAATTGTTAGATCTGAATCATGTACAAATTGGATCCAAAATGACAGATCTAAAACAAATGACAGTAAGAACATTTAATTTTGAGTAATCAGTGCGTAATTCTTTTTACCTGATATCATTTTCTTATTTATTCTGTTGTCAAACTTTTATAAAGAAATTTCCTTTAACATTCGAAAATATCCCCACATATGACGAATAAATCTTCAATAGTCCGATTCGAACCAATTGAAAGCAACTGAAAACAGAGGACTCTACATGATAATCTACAAAAATATTGTCCATATCGTTAACGTGCTAGTCGTATTTTTTGCAAAGTAAATTGTTTTTCTATCGCTTTCTTGAGAAGATTATCGCTGCCATAATTAAAATAATCATCGTCGTTTTTCAGACAATAGTTAGCACAGTATAGATATATGAACGACGCATGATGGGACTATAGCTGAAAGTAGTGGAATCGTTTCGACAGCTCATCACTACGCACACGTTTTCACGAGGCACTACTGATGTAATATTTTATAATAAATCGATGAATCATCACTCAAAACTACCAAAATAAAAAACAATGACTTTTGTTAACTTCACTTCGACTCCTATGCAATTCTTACGAGATAAGGACGTTATAGAAATCCTTGTGGTATAAACATGTCAGGTATACTGATGATTAATCTCTGACTGAAAATCTACTGCTAGCATTTATGGACATTGCGTGAGTGAAGATAAACATGCCACAAGGCAACTTTATAACTGAGATATTGTTTGATCATACTTCTAACTCAAGAAGGAAGTTTGATCAAAGAAAAAGATTCGTTTGAATTCACAGCATATAGCCCTTTTATACAGTAGACAATCTAATAATGATATGTGATACGACATTGCTAGCTGTGTAGAAAATGATGTGCTAGCGTCTATGGAAAGTTTATTAAATCAAACTTATTTTACATGAAATATACACGTGTCTGTACAATAAGAGACTTTTATTCTCTTCTACTAACCAAGACGAGGCTTACTATGTAAATATATTCAATATTATCTTACTTGATGCAAGGCTAAGTATAAAAGTGAAAATATTTTAAAGAAAGATAATACTTTTTATCTTGGAACTTCTACAGAATATGTATTAGTATTATATTATTCTAAAAGATACATAAAACCAGTGAGTGGAAAAAAATTAGAGCAGAAAAACTACTACGTCATTTGATTGGTCCTTATTCGAGCAATGAACATACAAACAGCTTTTGAAAGAAAAAAAAAATGACATGTGATTGTATTGCATTGCTATTATATACAGAAACTCTAAGTTTTATTTATCGAACTGAGTAAGATTGCTTATCTTTGACACATGACTGCAGTAAAACAAAAAAACAAGCGAGAGTTTTTTAATTTTTTGCTCTGTATACATGTATAGATAATTATTTCGATGTATCTCAAATGTATTGATTTCCATCGTTGCGCTATATTCTCTATGATTTAATGCAAGAAATAATATTTTGATAAAATTAGAGCATTCCTAAAAAGATATCTATGCTTTCTGGGGGAGGGGGGGGCAAAGAAAGACACTATTTTTTTTCTTTTTCTTTGCGTAAAGACACAGCTTGCTTTCTTGCCTCTTTTTGTTACAATCTTATCGTAAAAAAAAACATTTAGAAGGTTGCGAGTATTCGTCTGTTCACCTTCTCTGTAGTAGTACTACACTTGAGAAGAACAACTAAACGTTTCTAGTTCAATTTTTATATTAAATAGAAAGATTTAATTACAATCATGGATCATGAACTTTTTAATATTATATTGCTCGGTTCAGCATTTATGGTGTTATTTACTGCATTTCAAGCAACTGGCATGATATCGGTATTAATATCATTTGTAAAAAAGATCTTTATTATAATCAAATTGTTGATTTTATTTCTAGCAAAGTGTACTGGAAGGAGTTAAAAATGAAACAATTCATGGAAGTACTTTCCACGGCAGTGGTTACATCAGGTGAGATTGAAAATGTCTAATTGATTTTTTTTATGGGGGTGTGAGTAGGTGCGTCTATCCGTAGTTCCACTTCGAAAGGTATTCCTTTCGTTCTAAACTATCCTTTTCATGTTATTTCGTTCGGTGTTTCTTTCTTATACATTTTTGTCACTTCACTTTGATAAAAGACATCGAAAATTCTCATGCTTTTTGTTGGTAAAAGCTACCAGTCGATTATCATTCGATGAATTAAATTTAATAAAATGTATCTATTCTAGCTTAGCTATTCTCTATGCGTGTTTTGCGGTAACGAACATATTTGCACCTGCCATTGTATCAATGCTTCGGCCAGCTCTTGCAATGTTCCTCGGTGGTACAACATACTTGTGAGTAAATATAAGAATTTTTACCTTACTTATTTCTATTTTTTATAGTCTCTATGTTCTTTCATTTATCTATCCAATGACATGGTCATATTATATTGTATCCATTCTGGTCGGCGTAGGTGCTGCTGTCCTATGGACAGCACAAGGAGTTTATTTAACAAATAATTCTGATGATTCTACAGTGAGTCGTAATTCGGGTATTTTTTGGGCTTTATTTCAAGTTAGGTAATTGTTAAACAATGAAGTTTCTTTTTTCCTACTACAAAAAAATGAGTTTTTTTTTGTCAAATAGTCTTTTAGCTGGTAATATCTATGTTTATATTGCATTAAAAACTGAGATGATCGAACGTGCAACACGCATACCATTGTTCATCGTGTTTTCAATAGTATCCGCTGTTGGCTTAGTTTTATTTTTATTTATTATATGGCGTTCGTATACCGAAAGAAAGCGTGACACTTTAATTCGTACTGAAGAAGAAAAACGAGGCACCATCGGAGATATTATTCCTACATTGAATATAGCTGTGAAATTATTAAAAACACGCAATATGCTTTTACTACTCATTCCATTTGCATATACAGGTTCGTCGTATTACGTTTAATTTTTATTTCTGTTAGTACGATTGAGCCTTTTTTAGGTTTCTCTCAGACATTTTTTCAAGGTGTCTATGGAACATGTATTGGACATTATGTTAAATACGGAGGTGAAGATGTTCATATTAAAATAAAATGAGAAATTCGTAATAATTTCATTTGAATAGATACTCGTAAACGTTTAATTGGTCTGCATGGTATGCTTGTTGGTTGTGGTGAAATTTTAGGTAAAGCGAATTCTATTACGTTTTGAAATAAAAACGAAAGAAACGCCATTTTACTTTCTTCAAGGTGGAGGTATATTTGGATTTATTACAAAACCTAAAACATCCTCACAAAGAGCTCTAGTGGTTTTCGTTGGATTTGTATTACAAATGGTATATTACTATTCTGTATTTGTAAATTTTCCATCTGATGCATCATCTCAAGAAACAAGTGCTAAACCATATTTTGATTTCAGGTAAAATTTTTTCGGATGTAAATTTTCATGAAAATGAATCTGTCATTTATAGTAAAAAAACAAGTCAAATCATTGCATTTAGTAGTTCATTTATTGTTGGTCTCGGTGATAGTAGTATAAATACTCAAGTAATCTAATTAAAATCTATCAAGACTAATTGTAGATTGATTGTATTTGTTTTAGTTAATGAATGTATTAGCTACGCGATATAAACAAAGTACTGCTTCAGCTTTTGCAATATTTAAACTTGTTCAGGTAAATATTCTAAAATTCACCGCTGTGATATGAATAGATGATTTAAACTCTTCGTAATGTTGTTTGCCTTTAGTCGTTAATGGCTGCAGTTGCATTTTTCTATGCTGGTTCTATTGAAATTCAGTGGCAGCTGTTGGTTGTTGTAATATTTTTATTTTTTAGTACATTGGCTTTCTTTTCGGTTTTATTTGATGAAACAACAGATGAATCAATGGCAAACGCATTAGCTGTTACGGTACAAGATAGTGATAATGATAGTTATCAAAATTATTCATCATCCATTGCATGAGAAAAAAATCCGTTTTTATTTAAAAAAATATTTATTTGATTGATACGATAAATTTTTTTTTTTTTATGTATAATAGTTTATGTGATTCAATAAAAGTGCTGTAAGTACAAATATGATTGATGAAAACTTGACTTTGAAACTGAGAAAATCAATAAAAATTTCAAAAGAATTCTTCACTGCCGACATATGTATTAGTTTCTGTTCAAAAACGTTTCGACTTTTTCTAATGTATATCTGACAATGTTCAAGAGCTCGCAATAAAATCTTGACCATTCTATATTTTACCATCACTTTTTAATGTTCATTAGAATAACAGAAATTTTGGACTAACTTTTTCTTCTAATGATTTTTCAGAATCGACTAAAAACAATTAGCTATTCTCGGTTGGGCACATCCACGAGAGAAAATTTCTTTCATGAAAGCTTGATTTCTGAATAGATTATCCAGTACTAACTACTAACGTGGAAACTGCACCATCAAACTGGCTTCCGATTGCACTTTTTTAAAAACATAGGAATTCTTAGAGAATTGAGGTTGTCAAAAATATAGGATTTTCGATAAAAAATGACAAAAAGAGAGGACGTTTTATACACCGTTTCTGTTCAATTGTGTTGATGTTTTTTTTTAGCTGCTCTGCTCGAAAATCGACTGAATGAAGCTGTTATAAACAGTTCAACCATAGCCAAGATCCTTATGTAATTTTTTTCTACTGAAATAAGTCGCTAATTCGAGGATCACTATAAAAGTTTTTCACAAATCGATAAATAACAAAAAAGTAGATCATAAGTTTTGAAAAAACAAATACATGAAAAAGACAAATGCTATTTCTCATAATTAAAGGAGACGTTTCAGATTATGGACATGACTTCCCAAAAAATCTCAACCTAATTTTATTGTCCTGATAATCAGCATTCATTGCTTATTATTTTCCACAAGTTTATTTTGTATTTTATCATAACTCAATTTTTTCTGGTAATAAACAAGTGTAAATGAAAATGCATATACACAGGATGTTGTAAAATATCACGGGCTTTCAGAATATGTTTCTACTTTTTTTGAAAATATAGGTCGAGTCGCAGCCCAGCATCAAATCTTGCTAAAGATATTGAAATATCAAACAACCAATGGAGAAAGGATATTCTAAGGCAAATAAAATTCTGTCTTTGGAAATCAATTTACTTAAAGATCATGTGACACAACTCACTTGAATGGCGCTAGTCTCACTGAAACCTAATGATCATAAAAATTCTTTAGTATACCACACCGATTTTTAACACCACCGTAGCACTACAAATTCATATTGTCTGTAAATGTAGATAACACTATTTCAATCGGTTCGGTATTCCATAGTTTCAAAGGAAGCTGAATCTTATTATTAATGACACTTGATCATTATTCCCTTATATTTAGACCACAACAATAATGCAGAACTTGGTAAAAACGAAATTTTACATTTCACAGAAAATTATTTGTATTTGTTAATTTTTAAGATAAATTGCAAAGTAACTGATTGCTTCAATCTAGTACAGAAACTCTCTTTTTCGCAATAGAATACAAAACACTCCCTGTGGCTGAGAATTCATAAAATGCAAGTTCAATTTCGATTATGCAAATAACGTTGAATCACAACCATCAGTTTTCTCAATACATCTACTTGTAAATAAGCCTACCTTTGCCTTGGCAAGTATTCACTTGCATCGAAATCTCTCGCAATATTTACAAGAAGTCATATAAAACATTGCACTCTACATATATTTTCAATAATCAAACTGGTTCTCTGTATGTTAAAATTTCAGTGGTATCTCTCTTCGAGTTTCAATCTTAGAATAAAAATAGTGGCAGACAATTATTCTCTTATTTTTGCTGTTTTATTCTTTTCTTTCGTTAAATATTTTGTTGTCGTTTGTTAACATCCAAATGAAAAAAAGCAAGAATTCTTTTCACAAATGTTAAATGGACTATCTATGCCGTTGTTGCTGCTGCTGTGGCGTTCTTTCCTGAACGTTTAGTGGCTGCTTTTGTGGGTGTAGCAGTTGTTAAAGCTAATCGTTGACCACGAAGTAAAGCTGATGCTCGACGGAGAGCAGCCTATGAATAGGAATTTTTTTGTTTTATTTTAATTATGAATGCAATTATTAAAACTTATACGAACCATCTTAAGATCTTTACGATAGCATTGTTTACGGATTGTTCGTCGAATGCTGGTCAATGTACGACGTGAGTCCTTTGTAAGTTGAACCTTATGTAAACGTTTAGATGGTTTTCTTACATCTAAATAGTGAAACAAATCAATGATTTTCAACAGAATAAATGAACGCTTACTTTTAACGGAACCGGTTGAAAAGACAACACCTTTGCCTTCTTTAGCAGCTTCAACACCGACTATTTTTGGATGAATAAGACCATTATAACGGAAGTTATTACGGTTTTTTAAATTGTTTGGTTCCTGAAATGAAGAAGTAAAAGAGCGAAAATCTAAGAAATAATGAACGTACTGTTGTATATGTGCCCAATTTTCGTTTTTGTAAAAATGATGAATTATTACGAATAATCATCCATTGAACATGTGATGAAGCTTGATCGAAATCTAGGAGATTTTGTAAATTCATAATAAATAAAATTTTCTAATAGAAAAACAAAACTTACGTCCACGAACCATTGTTTGGGCAATGAATTTTGATTAAAATAATCAATCTAATCTAAAAGAATAAAATAGTTTTCTTAACTTTCTTCTCGTCTTCTACAAAATAAACAAAATTTTGATTTCTTTCGTTTTCATGATTGGTTATTCATGTTAACCATACTATGGTGTATGTTTGCGTACTTCAGTTTATCTTCAATGCACTAGTGTGTTAAATGCATTTTGTGTTATATTCAACGACGTCGCTAACATCAGTTTGAGTCATCATTATTAAATCTTGTTTTCGCTCGAAGACACGTAAAAATACAGGAATGGCTTCGTAAGCTGACGCGTTTAAAAAAAACACATAGCAATGATACAAGCGGAATTTAATGGTGAGTTCTCCATACAATCTTTCGTTCTCTCTTTCTCTTCGTTCTTTTCTCTTATGTTTTCATCAATCAACACATTTTTTCGATAGTTAGATTTGCATCCACGATATTTCATGGCTATATTGATATTTATTTCAAGTTTACTTCTATTCGTTTTGACAATTGCTTATCATCCTGATTCCGCAACACCAATAAATAATTTAAACATAACTAAAATTTCTCATGAACAGCGTTATCAACATTATTTGTATTTTCCTCGTTCTGAACGTTTACTATACCGTGAAAAAGCACGAGAAATGTTCCAATTCGGATATGATAATTATATGAAATATGCATTTCCAAAAGATGAACTTGATCCAATTCATTGTCGAGGGCGTGGGCCTGATGTTGAAAGACCGTATGAACAAAACACCAAAATAGGCTTTCAGAAAAAAAAACTTTTTTCTTTTCCTCATAGTGAAAATTATAATATAAATGATGTTCTCGGAGAATTTTCGCTAACATTAATTGATAGTCTTGATACGCTTGCTGTTATGGGCAATGTTTCTGAATTTCAACATGCTGTTCAACTTGTTATTGATCATGTGCGATTTGATCGAAATTCCACTATACAAGTATTTGAAGCAACCATTCGGTATGATACATCCACATTTGATTTTCTTTTAAGAGAGATTATTTCCACATTAAAATCTGATGGTTGTCTATCTGTCCTAACTCGAGGAAAACAAAAAAGTTAGGAAATCCAGTACAATGAAAACGATATATCTAAATGGTGGTACATACCGAAAAAGAAAAGTAAAATTTTGATATAAATTTCTGCTTGTGGAAAAGTATGATGGTTGATAGACACTACTAAAATTTTGAACCGAAAACAATCCATTTTCTATATATAAACGACATTTCGCTTCGGATATTCTGTTTGTTTGATCTTTCGGTATTATATATACGCATCCAGTATGAATTCAAACATCGAAAATTTGATGATTTCTTCGACTATTACTTCAGTAACAACAAGTAAACTGAGTCTTTCCACGCTTCAAGACCACATTAGCATTAGCTGATATTAAGCATAGAGAGAGAGAGAGAGAGAGAGAATTATATTTATTTTACGAAATAGAATCTTTTGCTAATGAAATGAAAACAATATTTTTATTTATTTAGTGTATTGGGTGCACTTCTTTCAGCTCATTTATTAATTATCGATCCATTACAACCATTTGGTGATTTGAAAATACCAGATTATGATAATGAACTACTTGATCTTGCTCATGATTTAGCATCAAGATTATTGCCAGCTTTTGAAAGGACCCCACATGGTTTACCGTATCCTCGCGTAAGGAAATTTAATCGAGAAAATCATAATAAACAATTTATATTTTGTATAATTAGGTAAATTTAATGACTGGTATGGTTGATGGATCAAGAAATGACACATCGACGGCAGGTGCTGGATCATTGTCGTTAGAATTTAGTATTTTAAGTCGACTTGTCGGAGACCCGGTGTATGAACGAGTTGCTCGACGTGCTGTAAATTCATTATGGGCTAAACGCAATAATGTTACTGGTCTATTAGGTTTGTTTGAGAAATTATATAGTTATTAATCTTTTTCCCTCAATAAGGATAATTCTCAATCTGACAAAATCCAATGATCGATTTCGATTGTTCTTAGTTTTCCCCCAAGAGTTATCTCTAAGAAAAAGATGAATAAGCTGAAATATGAATTAGATTTCATATTCAATATTTAATTTACGGCTTATGCTATGCATCATACTTTTTCTTCGTCGGTAACAGATGAATCAATACTGTGTAATTCTATTGAAAAAATAATATTCTTTCGTAAATTCTACTTGATTCGTATGCATTCTTGATGTTCGAGTTTTATAAAACAGATGAGTGCGTTTACTCTCTTCATAAATAATTAGTTTAGTTGAAATATAATGGCTCAAGTATGAATATATTAAAAAAAAAGCAGATTTATTATTTCTTTCTATCCTCGGGATAAATTTTAGAAGAACGACAGAGCCATGTAGGATAAGAGAAATTCATAGTAGGTCTTATAGTTCAATCATACTCTACAATCTCAAGTAGAATGAGAATATTAAAAAGAAATTTTACCGAACGCTAGATTATAAATTTATTCATACAAAGTCACTAATCTTTTGCTAGACGGTTTTATGATTTTATCGAGCCTGTGATGAGTCTCATATTACTTTGTAGACTTAAATCTATTCGACTTCAGGTAGTGTAATCGATGTAAATAGTGGTGAATGGCTTGGCCAATTATCAGGTCTTGGTGCTGGTATTGATTCATTTTTTGAGTATCTTCTAAAAGTAAGTTTATATTGATCTATTTTCATGCTGGTTAATTAAATTTTCTCTATCCAGAACTATATTTTATTCGGTGATGAATCTGATTTACGTATGTTTGACGATGCATATCGAAGTGTGACTCAATATCTTCGTCGTGGGTTTGTTTGATTGCCGAATAAATATTTTCTATTTGTCAATTCATTAATTATGATTTAGTCGAGTTAACTGCATGGATGAAGAAGGTATTCATCCAATGTTTGTCAATGTTAATATGCAAACAGGACAATTAGCAACGACATGGATCGATGCATTACAAGCCTCATTTCCTGCTGTACAAGTTTTACGCGGTGATATCGATGAAGCTATTTGCTTGCATGCACTTTATTATTCGATATGGAGAAAATTTGGTGTTTTACCGGAACGTTTTAATTGGCAAATAAAAATGCCGGATGTTTTATTTTATCCATTGAGACCGGAATTCATTGAATCAACATATTTTTTATATCAAGCGACTAAAAATCCATTTTATTTACATGTCGGAAGAGATATTTTAGATAATTTAAATACTTATACCAGAGCCGAGTACGTTTACATGAGGATTTTATTTTAATTCAATATAATTATTTTAAAAAAAAAGGTGCGGCTTTGCTACTGTACATGATGTGCGAGATAAAACGCTTGAAGATCGAATGGAATCATTTTTTCTTAGTGAAACATGCAAATATTTATTTTTGGTACGATAGTTTTGTTTTTGCTAGAATTGAATAGAAATAAAATTCTCATATTTAGTTATTTGATGAAGACAATTATTTGAATCAACATGGTGCAAATCATTATATATTTACAACCGAAGCACACATTATTCCTTTAATGGCAAAATTAAGGAAAAAAGTTTGGGATTCAAGTGAAATGGCACCTTGTGTTGAAAATAAAGAAGTTTTCATGGATAAGCATAGTTATACAAATGAAAATGAATTAATTAATGTCAATAGAGATCTTGTTAAAGTCGAAAAAACTGTTATTTCAATTAAGAAAAAACGAATAAATGAATCGAGTGTAAGTTAGTTCAGGGAGAGACACTTCATCGCTCCTTTTTGATTATAACAACAAGATAGTTCTAGCCCGATGAGCGAATTCCTTGTTGGATATGTTTCGAATTTTTATATCACGACAGAGATGAGATTTCCACAATAATATGTAACGTTGAAATGAAAAGTTATGAATGTTTTCATGAAATTTTTACAGCAATTAAAAAAAACACTGTTGAGTCCAGACAGTATTCGTTAGTGGATTCGTGAGAGTAGCTCAAACTGAATTGATAGTAGAAATCTTTATCAAAGACTCGATACTTATTTCATATGAAACTATTAGAATATTTGGAGAAAGTATAACAGATTCTGTAGATACATTCATAAAACGTCATGAAACTTTATTTTAATTATTGTTGAATCGAATTAATGAGAAATTTAAGTTTTTGAGTATTTTATAATACTCACAAAAATTCCGTTAATGGTATTCCTTCATCATAGTGAATAATGTAAATTAATACATAACGTACTCGTCATTCATGAAAAACTTCACAAATTAAAATCATACTCTGATTGTACTAGACGAAGGTTTTCTTCCGTAGCTGTGGTATAGTAGGAAAACAGGTAGATATGAATTCTGAGTATCTGAAGTATTCAAAAATATACTGACGGACTATACTTTAAGAAAAACTTTCTTTCCGTGATTTTTATCAATATGAAGATAAGCTTTTTAACAAAAATTCCTGTATATTTTAGTGTCGATCTCGTCCAATATCTCGTCGACATCAACTACCGCTCAGTGCTAATCTACTTTATCAGCTCGATGAAATGGTTGGCGTTATAATTCCTCAACCATAAATCCTCAAATGAAAACGAGACAAATGTTTCATTCAATCGGTGCTCACATAAACAGTTTTAATATATTATACTCTTTTTGTTGTCTTTCAATTTGTGAACGATTGCCCTTTTGTTTTTGAGTGTCTGTCAGATATTCTCTTTGTTTTTTTTGTCTTTCAGAAATTTATTTATTATATAATGTACATTTATTGGGTGCCCTTGAAGAGAATATTTTTGTTTTGCTTTGAACTTTGTTTTTTTTTGTTCCTCATTTTCTTAGATATACAAATAATGATTGTTAATCAAGTATTATTGGGCATAGCAGGTATCATTGCAACTATTTATACATTTTATGTGAAAAAGCAACATGACAAAAATCCAAAATATAAAGCTATGTGTGATATAGGACCGAATGCGAGCTGCACTCGTGTTTTAACGAGCAAGTAAATTAATGAACTAAGTTTTGATGAAACGAAAAAGACTGAGGTCTAATATCTACTTTAAGATATGGTACTGGCTTTGGAATAGTTAGCGTTCTATTTGGTAAAAATAGTAAGCTGAATATGTCTAATGGTACGTTAGGCTGTATGTTCTATGTATTACAAATTATTATTGGTAAGAATTTACGTTTTTTGTTCGATTTATGTTTATATTTCTTTTGTTTTTTCGGGAAAAGGTTTAATAGCAACGCCATTACTCAGCAAATTGGCTATGTTTTCATCTATATTAGCCTGTGTTGGTTCACTTTATTTGGCTTTTATTTTGGCATTTGTTCTTAAAGATCTATGTCTTGTTTGTATTACGACCTATATAATCAATGCTGCCCTTCTTTGGTCAAATTATCAAACTGTTTATTCGAGTCATTAATTAAGATCTCTTTTTTTTGAGTTTCGCATGTTTTTGTTCGTTGTCATTGACATTGGTTAAATCAAATTTTCACCCAAGATCTTCCTTTAAACAAATTGTTTAATTTCAGTCAAGATAAATATCATCAAATTTTCGTTTCTCTATATATTTTAAAATCATTTTTTATGTTTTTTCTGATAAAAGTCTTTGATATTTATTATAGATTAATGCAATGATCAATCTTAGATGATTTTTGAATTATGGAAATCTGATTTAATAGCTTCTAAGCTTACTTGATCTATTGTTGACATATTTTTGATCGATTCATACGAGAGAAAACATTTCTAGGAGCATTTTATAACCGATTGAAGTCTACAAAATGATATCATGTCTAGATAAAAAAAACTATATTATAACTTATAGTCAATAAAAAAAAGGTTTTACAACCATTGCTAAAATAATTATTGTTAACCGTAGAAATTTCAATTGTGACTTTCATTCTAGTTATTGTAGTATAGAAATCAGAATCCATAGTTTTATGTTGTAATTACAAAAAAATACGAATTAGCGATTTCAATAGGTTGTTGTAAATGCAATATTTACGTGCAATTTGATATTATTGGCATAGAATGAATCATTGCTGTTGTATTCTGTGTTTCTAGAGTGTACCCATTAAATTCCAATTGAATTGTGCAAATGGCATAATTAAGAACTATTCGAGCTATTTCTGTGGTAGATTTAATAGAAATTCTTCGAGATGAATACCAGATAATAAAGTATTAGTCATGCTGGCTAGATGAATAATTTATCGAACTGATTATACTTTGATTTGAAATAGAAAAGGAGTACGGAAACTTTTCAGCGAAGTGTTTTATTGTGTTTCATTTATCATCATATTTGTTATCAAAGAACCAGGGCCGCTTTCAAGATGTTCATCTCCTAGAAATAATTTTTAAGACAAAGACACAAAATTCAAAAGAAACTGATAAATGGCAGAAAATCCTTTTGATGCGACTGAGTTTAAGATGCTACAATTCTGATTCTTAATTTAATATTTTGTTTTCTATGTAATAAAAAGGATTGGCAATCATCACTGCGTTATTCACGGAGGTGTTCAAGTGTTAGGTAGTCTGCTCTGTCCTGCCCTACCTGAGCAGAACAGGACAGATTACGAGTTTTATTATTAATCTTTTCTTCATGATCATCAATAATCAATTGTTCATATATTATGTTCAATTTCAGCTGGTTTTTGATCTATAACTTGGTGTATTAAAAAAAAGACATTGATATGAAAAAATTGATATGTTCTCTGACAAAAACAAGATTATTTTACCGAACGAAATACTTTTTTTCATTGCAAGAACGTGGTTTTAATTACTGTGTCAAGAGTACTTTTACAACTAAGTGCCACTCATAATGATGAGAAATCTCTGAGATGTATAATGTTGCTGCATACTGTTTTACTATCCGAACAAATGAAATGCAACTGAATCATGAACTTCTATAAAATTTTTGGCTTTTCCTTCAATACAAACAAATATCGAGCAGGCCGCGCCATGCAGTTCTCTACTTATTCAATAAATCTATGAATTTTCTTTTTTGAAAAGACTAGTAAAGTACAGAAACAAAATTGTAGAACCATCTGTAGTTATTGTTCTCTGTGCAAGGAATTTTATTAAAAACAAAAATGAAAATGAAAATATCGTACGAATCTAAAACTTTTTTCTTAGAAACAATGAAATTTTCTCATCCTAAATCGTATTTTTAATTTTTAAACGAAAGAAGTTTTCGGAAAATTTCTAAACATCATTCCGTTCGATACAGAATTTAATTCTCTACAAAATGACCAGTTTATTTTTAAATTCCATTCTTCAAGGCAACTATTACATTGTTGTAGAGCTTTCAACTTTCCGTACTGGTAAAGAGCTTCCGCTTCGATGCAGCAACTTGATTATTTGTACAGCGGTGATTTGTAGAGAATAAAAAAATGACTGTGAAAATAAAATAGGTTTGACTATCTTAAGTGGCTCAAAATCGATCGAGAAAAAAAGTGCCACAGCGTTACGTTTCCTTTTTTCCTCCTTTAAGCGAATGAAAGGAATTAGAAAAAAATATTTTTTAACATTCGAAAGCTCATTTCATGTTCTGCAAAATTGGTTTTAGGTCCATTTCATTTGGAGGTTGTCATTCGCAGGAAATTGAAAGCTACGCTAGCGCACTCCGAGTTAGAGGTCCTTTTTGTCACAGTGTTACGCGCTTATAAGCAATTTCTGTAAACTAAAGGCTTCAATGGAGAATCGTCAATCTTGGGGTATGGGTGTATCAAATGAATTTACACAAGCACACCCGCACCCGCACCCACACCCACACCCACACCCACACCCTAAAATTGTAATTTGTTTCGCAAACTGAAAGGATAGAGTCTAGNCGAACACCCACTACCACACCCACACCCACACCCCCACCCACACCCTATTCATAATTCATATGCTCTTGATGTATTATGATAGCTACATTAATAGTATACATAGTGATGATTTTTGTGTTGTTAAAATTTTTCTATCAAAATATATTATTGTGGATAATTAATAAGTTTCTTCCACATCGTCAATTTTGTAACGATATTAATTTTTACTTGATACTCTAGTCATGACAAAATTAAATTTTCAGTCAACTAAAAAATGAAATTAAACGAGAAAAACTTGATTTGATTTAAGCTTCGGAAGCAATATAGCATTTCAGTGCAAAACAAAAAGATGAATCATTTTCTTTTATTTGTGAACTTTTTTAAAGTTAATTGTGTATGGATTTTTCTATTTAGAATTAAAATACTATATATATGATGAAAACATTCATGTAGCTAGTGTATCTTTCTGAAGAAAAACGTTGAGTATTCGTTTAAGAATGATATTTCGGGATTTTCTTTCCGTTAATTACAGGTTCCATACATTTGACTGTTATCTATTACTTTTTTCCGTCACAAAGAAAACAAAAAGAAGCATAATCTACTCATTATAGACTTCAATAACCAGTACTTGCCACTAATACACGCAGTTAGAAACAATTTCCTACAAATTACACAGATCACACATAAAACAGATTCTTAAGAAAACTTTTCATCCTTGGCTTATTTTATATTAGCTCAGTTACTGTAAACATTATATGGAATCTCTACCCTTCTGCCCCAAAGAGGCTCCGCTAATTAGCAGATATTATTTATAGTTCAGAGAGCACTCATTTCATAAACTATTTAACAAAACGGAGTGAAAGAAAAAGAATAACTTAGTGTTTTAATGTGCACAGAAACTTTATTTTCTGTTTTTAGAACAGAAAATTGCATCGTAGTACACGTCATTTCAGGTATAATGTTGAAAAAATTATTTATACTTCAACTAGTGTTTTTAGTAGAAGAATGAATGCAGACACCCAAGTTAGACAATAAAATAGAACTTACTGTTTTTGTCCGTACAAAGATGACAATTTATGATAGTAGAGGTGAATCTTTCTTGATTAGTCTAAAACTCTGCTATGAGAATCAATGAAGCATAAATTATTAGAGGGCAATATTCACGTGGATACTGTCTTAATATGCATAGAATTATGATGCAAAAGGTATACATTTTTTATTTATTTTCAAAACCGATTGAAAATAATTTATCATTATGACTCCTGAATATATTTATAGTTATATATCGATTAGAGACTTCAAGAGAAAAGTAAATAGGAATATTCATCATGATTTATTCAAAGGAATATAAAATCTTGAACTATGTTATGCATACGGTGCAGATCAAACCATTACGTTCGTCTATCATGATTTATCTTTTTATTTTCTCTTGAATTACTCAAAATCTCCTTCTGGATCGACCCCACTTTTGTTTTGCAGTGTCAAGCATGGCATCAGTATAGTCATTCATATATTGTTTTTTTCTTTTTGTCGCGATGCATGCATCATTTTTTTTATTGCAACCATCTCATTTCTTTTCACTGCGATGAGCGCATAATAGAGTAAGTGTAGTTATTATATATTTTTCTTCTTCTTTCAAGATACAAAGAATCTATATTTTGTTGTTTAAAGAGGTTTCTTCGTGGTTTCATTTGCTATTTCAGCTAGATAAATGTATTTTAACTAAGTAATTTCTCGTCTAGGACCATATTGTGAACCAGGAAAATTTTCAATCATTCGTCTGCTGTGAAGTTTGATTCAAACACGTAAGACAGCTTCTTATTCTTATATTGCTCGGAACGATGCCAATTAAAATGTAAATCAATCGAAAACAGATTATTTTTTATATAGCAGTTGGATCCATCAATGTCGTCACGATAGGAACCAAGTAAAGAAAACATGCAATCAACGGGAAGAAATAATGCTTGTCAAGTGTGTGGAGATTATGCAGTAATAGTTAACTATGGAGTTTTATCATGTTTACCATGCCGAACATTTTTTCGTCGCAATGCTCACCGCTCTCATGTTTGAATAATAATAAAAAATACATTTTTTTCTCTTATGATCTATTTTCTAACAGGAGATTCGTGCTTGTCGTCATGCTGGTCATTGTGAAATGAATTCACTAAGAAGAAAATGTTGCTTATCATGCCGTCTAGTAAAATGCTTTGCAGTGGGAATGAGGCCAAATTTAATTCGTAAAACAAATTCAACTAAGAAAAAACGAACACTCAGCATATCAAACAATGAAAATCTCATTGTTGTGGTATGTACTATGCGAGGAACATCCTAGTAATCACATATTTGTGTATGAGTGTTAGAGTTCAATGTTGTGCGAGTCTAGAAAATTTTTCTCAATTCTGAGAGTATACCGCTAAATCGATATGTTGTAACATTTTAACAAAAATTTAATCTGGTGAACAGATGTATTGAAAATCTCATTGTCTTTTACAGATTCCTTTATTTTGTACGTCTAGTTTAGCCTAAGTAGTGTAACGATGAAAAAAAACTGAAGTAGAACAGCTCGACTAATATGTAAATGATTGATCATTCAATTGAACGCTCATTTCAGAAACGACTCATACGAGTCATCTTTCTGCTTGAAGACTTTTTCAGCACATTTATATTCAGATTGACTTGTAAACAGATCCTCTTAGAGACAAATAGATTAATTTAAGCAAAAAAACATGCATTAATTAAATTTTCATGTAATAATAATTTTATTATTGAGAACGTTCTTTCATATAACTCCTGTTGACTGCCATCAAGAAATTTATGACTAGATTAAACTTTTCTATCAAGTTATTGCACTGTCGTGAAAATTTATTGTAATCTCTCTCTTTTTTTCATAAAGATTAAAAAATTTGATATTTTGATCTTGATAGAAAGGGTGAAGCATTGAAAAGCATTTTTCGATAATATTTGTTTCCCTATACTTTCGTCTTGAAGATTGTTGTGTAAAGCATAGGTTTATATCTGATAAATTTTTTAACAATATTTTTTGAATTAGTTCTAGTGATAAAATAAATGCGGAAACATCGGATTCGCATCCAGTTGTTATGTGTACTGCAAAAATTGAGTCGATTTATATATGTTGTGAATAATTCTGAGAAAAAATTTTTTTTTTCAAAAAATCTCTGTACCCTCCCTCAGGGATGGTCTGGTCAATAATGACAATTTTTTCGATAACTCAGCCATTTCTTGACGGATCCTTTTCATCTTCGAACTCGACTGAGATATTGATGAGATCATTATATGTACAAAATTTCATGACAATTGGATGAGGCTTTCAAAGGTTATCGTGTTAACGGCCGGACGGACACACTGACTGAATCTAGTGTATTCATTTTTTTTGAGTACGCAAAAAACATTTCTTTCGCCTTCCTCAATCCAACTGTGCTAAAATTTTATTAGACATTTACTTTCATTTAGACAATACCACAAGAGTCTGCATTGGATCGGTCACCTGGCGATCATAATTTAACTCTTAATCCTTCAGATCGAATTATAATATCAAATGTTGCACATGCTTTTGATGCATTTAGTGGTGTATCGCAGATGCAGCGTGTACTGGGACTCGTAAAAAAGTCAGCGTATAATTTTCAATATAGTGTATGTCTAATTATTGAATTTTTGTCGTCATATTATAACTGCGTACAATCATTTATAAGTTCGACACCTGATTTCAAAATACTCACTTCAACTGAACAGATTTCCCTGTTTCAACGGAATTTGGTTGGTGTTCTATGTGGTTATACAGTATGCTTGCTAAATGAATCAGGAGTATTCGACACGCCTGAAAACGAATTGGTCTTTTCTCTCTTCTACGACACCGAAGTAGCTCTACAGGCAAAAAATATAGTTCAAAAACTTAATTATGATCCAGTAGTTATGAAACTCATGCTTGTTTGCCTTGCGTTTTCGTCCAATTGTTATATGGTAAATAATCATGGAAATATTAATCAAGATAGTTTACTATTGGGTACATTTCGTCTATTCGGAAGTCAAAATGCGTATGTTGAAGTCTGTTGGAAATATTTACTGGAAAAATATGGTTTCAATCATGCAGTAAAAATATATTCAAACCTAATTAAACAACTCCTTGATGCGTTTTCTATTTCAATCGATATATGTAACAACAACATACTCCACAGGGTTTTTCTTGATACCCTAATTCAACAAACAAAAACACTTTCAATAGTTGATAAAACCTCTACTGTACCCTTATGGGGAAAATTGTTATGATTACTAACGAATTAGCCTTCGTTTTTTTTCCTTCATAATTATCATTATGTTCTACTACGTCGAATGTACAGAAACTTGTAAAGGTGTGCACTTTATGTGCATTATGAAAAAAGTTCTTTCAGTGATAAGCATTATTAAAAAATAGTCAATACTTGTTTTTAATGAATAGAGAGGAGCGTTTTCTACTTTTCCCAATGTAAATTCAACATTGTAGCGATGAATATATTTATAAATAAATGTTTCATTCGTTGTTAATTCTATTTTCGTCTGATGTGATTCAACGCGGTATACTAATGAAAATCATAGCTTAAAACGTGTAATTGAAACGATGTTAGTATATTGTGTTAAGCCTTATTCAGGTTAAAAAGCGGAAAGTTAAAACTTAGAACGATTACGTTGCTGATGTCTAGAAGATTATCGATTATAATTATGAAAGTAGATTTTTTCCAAGAGACAAGGAATTATTTTTGCTCGATATTTCGCTTGAAAAATAATAGGTCTAGAATTTCTTTTCAATATGAATCTATCAAGTATGACGTACTTTATACCAAAAAAAAACTCATTAAAAATGAATAGTCTATGAAAAAGCACTCTTGCGCTTTTCAATAGCTTTTAATTAATAAAATATAACAGGCTGCAAATTCTACTAGTATATAGTACTTTCGAGATGGGCCCTCAACAATAGAAAACTAATTAATTCAAATAGTAGAATTGAAGACATGACTGACTATTACAACACAGTTCTGAATACCGAGACTTTCAGAATAGAATGAGACTACGAAGAAGCTTAATTGTATGCTTTTCAATAATGTAATGAATTAGTCATGATTCTGGTAAAAGAGTAGCATTTTTTATAATTACTCATTTCTATTTATTTGGTTCAATGAATCTGACAGAGTAAAATACTACTCATATACATATATATTTGAGTAGTAATTTATCAAAACGGTTCAGTTCTGCTTTTGCAATAGGGACTAACCGTGAAAATTTTTGAGCTAGACGTTCTACGGGATTTCAGTTACTATCATCTTTTTGTTAAAGAAACAAGAAATGACGTCGAACATTTCAAAGAATTTTCTTAACTTTTGTTTTTACAGATTAGAATAAACGTGATTCAATGATAATTCCTTTCATTTGAAAATCTCTTCAACAGTATTAAATGAAACTACAGAAACATAATCCTTGTGTTACATTTTTATCAATTATACATGAAAAAAGGATTTAAGAAGTAAGTACAAATGCAATAGAAATAAGACTAATAAGATAAACATAAATGCAAAAATGTGATATTTATTGTTTATTTCATAATCTATTCATTATCGAAGTTTAATATAAATTATGAAGGTAAATATGTAGCTTAATCTTTAGTATAAAAAATCCCAGATGAGTTTTTGATAGGAAAGATTGTGAGCGAAAAACTGAAAGTAGAACATCAAATATGAAAAGAAGAAGACAGAAGTATGTTGAAAAGTCCATTTTACTATCTCAGAAGGGTGTGGGTGTGACTGTATTTATCATGTCTCAATACACACCCACATCCTCAAGATTATTTTAGCAATTTCATTACTACAATAACTATTTTTAGTAGATTAGCTGAAGTATTGCGAAACGTACTAGAGGTGAGGATTTTGTAAAAAGGAAATTGTCTTTTCTATTTATGTGTAGATCAAAGAGTTATTTGCAGACATTGTTGTTGTGCAATATCGGGGCCCTAGTCAACTCTCCCTAGAAGAATCCCCAGGGAGGCCCTAGGGATTTCGTTCTTTTGCTGGGACTCTCCGGGGAGTCGTCGAGGGAGAGTAGATTAGGGGGAATTTCTCACAAATTTCTGCTATCAGAAATGGAGGTATTTCAGCCATATGATGGTTTCTAGCCAATCTATAATCATAATCAAATCTTGTTTGTTCGCCAAATAATTAAACTAGATTATCTAAATCATCTATTAGAGTCTAAATAATTGCTGTGCGTACTTTGGGCAATTGTTTCGTGTCTAATTCAATTGTTGGTTCTATAATGGTAGTATATTTAGCAATGCTTTCGTAAAGTACATCATTTAATGCGCTGAAAGGATTGTTATTTACATCATAATTGTCATTAAACAAATTTCTTGTTGCAAGGTAGAAATCATTTGTTTTTTCCTCAATTTCTGCGAGTGCTAATTTGATAATTTCTTCATCATTGCAATTCTTACATTCAATATTTATTTGTTTTAAAAAATCCATTAATAAACTTCTTTGGGTAACATCTAATATATTGTTTTGTGTTATTTTCACATCAGAAAAAAAAACATTTTTGCCACTAACTGAACAAGCAGTGATTCTTGTAGAAAAGAAGCAGCAATTAACTTGTTAATTATTTGTTCCATTTATTTTACTATATTAGCTCTAAAGATTGAAATAAGATGGTAGAAATATAATATAAAAATCAAAAATATACAATAAAAATATTAATATTTTTCATTATTCGTTTATTTATAATGTTATACTGTAGATAGAAGGTTGATTTAGAGAATTTGAAGATAAGATAAAAGATTGACGTGTTTTCATTCATTGTTGTATTCTAAACAGAATTTTAAAGATTTTCAATGGAATTTATGATATGATTCATCAGGTGTAAAAAATATATATAATAATTATTATGAATAAGATACTATACAACTTAACATTAGTAATCATTGTCACGATTTGAGGGGGTGAGTCTAGCTACTGTGATCATGATTTCGTCCCGACTAAAGGACTTCAGACGACTTGAACACAGTATCTGTTGGATCTTATGTCTTCTACGAGTTTCCAGGAAACTCAAAATTTGCCACTTTTTTGGTAGCACAGGCATAATGGACTTAATTTCCTCGACTGAAGGGTGGGTCATACGAAATAAAATGCGTTTGTTTGTTTGTTTATTTGCTTGAGACCAAAAAACATCCAAGCGAGGTTTGCTTGTTTTAAGGCTTTTGGCCGTTTTGATGGAATTTTGATGTAGGTTATCGAGGGCCCTGAATTCAAATCCGTCGCCCATTTCTTTAACCGAAGCTGCATTGGTCGGAAGCTGGCTAATTAGAAACTAAGGTTCTCACTACTTAATTAAGTCAGAGTCAGAGATGGGCGAGTACAAGTCATGACTCGAGTCGCATTTTTTTAACGACTGACTTGAGTCGGGTTCGAAAATTAGTAGGTGTTGAGTCATTCTTTCAAAAAACCTTTCATGGGATGTGGGCGTGTAATGCTCGTGTATATCGCCCATTACCACACCCACACACGAGTATTTCTTTTTTTTCATTTATTTCAAAGTAGAAAAAGAATCGAACAAAAAAAGAAACAATTCACAAGTCTTATTCGATAGAAAATCGTTGAACACGATTATTATATTGATCAGCGACATAGAGATTACCATATCGATCGAAAGACAAGCCACTGGGGATCTTGAACTGATTTGCTCCTGCTCCTTCACCATTTCCACCCACAACTACAGTGCCTTGTTTCTTGTCTCCTTGAGTCCAACGCATTACACGATTATTCGACGAGTCTGCTACATAGAGTGTACCCAACGTGTCAACGAAGAGTCCATTAGGATACGACAAATGTGTCGAAGCATTCCCCATGCCTTTTTCTCCAGCAACAATAATACCTTCTTTTGCATCTTTAGTCCATTTCATTACACGATGATTGTGATTGTCTGACACGTAGACATTCTTCTGTCGATCAACAAAGAGATAATAAGGATCGTAGAGTTGGTTGAGTTTAGTACCTTTGCCATTTCCACCAGCTACAAGAGTACCATTCTTCTCACCCAATTGATATCGTCTTACTTCCCGATTCCCGACATCAGAGACGTAGAGATATCTCTGTTCATCCATGGCTATTCCAAAACAATCGATGTTGTCGATGAGTATTTCACCTTGTGTTGTACCACTACAACGAGACCATCGCACAACCCGTTTATTCCCCCGATCGCAAATAATGAGACTATCCGTCTCTTCGTCAATTAATACATCAGTTGGATGATCTAATTGATTGCATCTATTTCCTAGGCCTTTGCCACCAGCAACAATTTGTCCATTCGTTGTATGACCGTTCTTCCATTGGATGATACGATTATTCGCGTGGTCAACAATAACCACTGTTTGATCATCATCAACGAAGATACCATGAGGCCAGTAGAGCTGATTGGCGCCATTGCCGCTCCCGTGGCCTCCAGCAAGAGGCACACCTTGTTGTGTCCAGTTAGCATTAGCAGGAATATTAACTATAAGAGAAAACGTAAGAACGAAGGCAATCTCTATGGCTGAAGTGGTAGTGTTATTATAAAAGAAGACATGGAAAGTAGTGTGAAAAGAACTACTCTCTCTCGTAAGTATACTCTTAGGTAATCCAGATAGATAATGTCTAGTATTAGTAATAGAAATCATTATCTAATTTTGAATGTAGAAAAAAATTTCTTTCTCATAAATACTTTAAGAGAACGGTCTTGATACGATGTAGAAATGTCTTTCTATAATGAGAAGATTCGAAGAATTATACAAAAAGATTTGAAGGAGACGAAACGAAAAAAAGTTATATTATTTAACTTATAAATACCATATACTCTGAAAGCACATGGTGTTTGCATCAACGTAGAAATAAAAGAAAATAGATTGAAGATACAATGGCAAATGAAGACATTTTGGAGAGTTTTCTATCATATGTACGTGAATTTACACTCTTATTGTACCGTTTGAAGAAAACAAAATCAAAGTGAATATGGGAAGAATTAAAGTTATGCGTTCGATAGAGCCTCATTTATTGTATACGTATCAAGCATTTTCCCAACTGTCAGTTTTTAGTTTAGAAAAGCAAAAATCTAACTTTCGAAGTATTCAAGTGAGCCGGGATTTGTTGACGGAATCAAATTTTCGAATGAATTTTTTTACATTATTATCGTATATAAATCGAATCATTTTAAAACGAAGAATCCGACATGCATGTGCAGTAATTTTTACTCGCACATGTTCTTAGATCAATTGTTTAACGAATAATTTAAGTGTTTGTGTAAAATATAGACTTATCATATGGTAGTGAATGAAACAAAGACAGATGTTTCAGTCATTGAAAGTATTTAAAATCTTCCGTAAAAGTCCAAGGTGAAATAAAATTATTTTTTCTCGAAATATCTATCATTTAATTTGTTGTGACAGTTTTCGAGTAAAATACTATTTTCTCGTGAACGATACGTAATCAAGAGGGTGTGGGTGATAGGAGAAGACACACCCACACCGACACCCTTTTCTTCTTTGAAAATTCTATAGCTATACATCAGTAAAAAAAACTTGGTACCCTCACAATAAGTAGGATAGAGTCTAAGGAGTTTTTCAAACACAAAATGTTCAAATTCGCTAAGTAAAACTTGAGATATGAGTGTCTTTTGTGTTTGGAAAACAACGGTACAATACTAGTACAGTTCACCCATATATTTCTTATTTTTACAGGTAGCACATATGATCTCTCATTGATCACCAAGGTTTAGTTTTAAAAGCATTAATGTATTTCAGATTTTATTTAATGACTCGGTAACCTTTTCCTATAGCAACTTCTATGGAAATCAGAGGCTGAAACCGAATCGAGATTTTTTATTCGTTTCTGTATTTGTATGAAGATACAAATTTTTGTTTATCACTATTTTGCTCTTAGTAAACATTTTCCTTGCCTTGACTTTCTTGAGAAAGTCATCATTACTAGAAATGAATACTCGAAAAAATATTATATTTGAAAAATCGATACAGAAAGTTTTCATTTTATTTTAATATTTCATTATTTTTCTTTGAAAATGTTTTTCAACATGTTATGGCTTCTAATGTTTAGATAAATGGGGGTTCCCATTAGCTACTCTCAGTTTTATAGTTTTTGTTGTAATATTAAAACGGCACTGACCATCGATGATATTACTTTTTTTCGTTAGTACAACTGAAAATCATTATTGAAGAAAACTGTAAATGTATTAAATAGCTTGTTTTCTCGATAAGAATAAACTTTTAGACGTATCGGAACCATATTTTCTCATCGTACCTTTAGCTGAACAACACCGAGAAAAGATTCGAAGCATATTAATCCATTGTTTTATAGTTCTTTTCTAGATCGTTAGATAAAAGTAGTGCGAGCATTCAATGGTTATAGAAATTTAGCAAAATCTAATAAATTCCAACGATGAAATGGAAGACTAGGGTGACTATTACTTCTTCAAAAACAGTCTCGAGCGTCTCTGATACTTTATGGATGAAGCTTCAATTCTATATCAGAAAGGAACGAATTCTCACTAAATGATGATAAACTTGTTGCAACTATGAAATTTCTTCTCAAACTATTCATATCGCAGACATAGTTAACTGAAATGGAAAATAAAAAAATCTTCTCTCTATTTTTAAAAAGTATGAGATATCAAAATATATCTAAGAAAGATGTAGAGTGCACTTCTATATCTTATTTTATCAGTGATACTTATTTTTCCTTAAATACTGAATATGAATTAGAAGACAATGAACCTATCGATAAAAATCTGGTTATTCTAATGTAGCATCAAAAAATAAAATTTTGTAAAAAAGAAGCACAATATAAAATGTCCACTTTTTTGAAAACCGATGCATAAAGCTAATGAAGAAAATAGAAATATTCTTGTTTAGAGCTAAAAGAAATAAATGATATTGTTGAATAGACAGTCTTACAGCGTATCTTCCACCGTTATCAGTGTGTGTGAGACTGAAAAACAGCAAATGGTAGAGATGAAAATGAAAATTCCTAAATTTGATGGTTTTTCCAATGTAAAGCGATCGATGGTTTTCTCATTAATCCTTTAACTTCGAATCGTTTGTACATTATTACGAAGAGTACTTCGATCATCAGTATTTTTTAATGCGTGATATATATATATATATATATATATATATATGATTGAAAGGCATTTTGAGAGTTTCCTAGAAATTGAAAATCCAAACCTGCTCAAGAAATCTGTTTTATCCTTACAATAAAAGATGCATTCACAAGTATAAATCAGAGATACAGTCGAGGGAGTAGCTTTTGAATATTTTCGAGAAAATGTCTTATGTAGTTAGAATTTCATAAGTCAATTAGGTGTCTGACAAATATAAAACTCACTATTCATCAGCGGAAAAATCTAATTTGTGCCTATAGACTTTGTGATCTCTGCAGACAATATCGAGGACAATACTTACATTGCATTGTTTCCAAATATGTCCCATAGATTATGTAAAGTTTGATGTCATCACACCAGTAATTGTTCAAGTTGCTCAGCTTTGCAGTAGCATTAAACTTGATAAGCACTTCAAGTTCCCACATGTCGTTGTGTAAAAACAAGCTGATTTTCTTTTTAGTCGAGTCTGTAAATGCAAGATATATCAAATTCAGTGGTAGCATATTGACGCTTACTTAAAATTTCCATAGAGAATACTATATTGTTCTCTTTGATTCCTCTTAACTCTATCGATACACCGGTACTCATTTTTGCGCTTAGTACGGCTTCAGAATGTGCCCAAAAATTTGAATCCCACTTATCTGATAAATTGACACGTTGGTACATAGTAGCTCCAGTAGAGAGTGACTGTAAGGTGAACTGACAATTTGAATTACTCTTGTTAGATATGACCGGAGTGACATTACCATTGCTCAGTGTCCAACCACTAATATAAGAAATATTACAGTCAGCTTGACCCTCGTTGATCAAGTTCTCATCATGAGCAGTTGTTCCATTTAATAGTGCAGCATCTTCAATAGAGAGAGCATCTTTCAGTTCTTTCTCCGTAATATTGGTACCAGTAAAATCACTCTCATAAAGGTTGGCACGATAAAAATTAACTTGATTCAAATAAGCTTCGTGAAATACAGCATACTTAAGATTTGAATACCAAAAGTTACAATAAGATAGTGAAGCATAATTGAATTTAGATGCAACACAACTGGATTGGCGAAAATTCGTATTAGATACGTTGGCATGAAAGAAATCGGCTAAAACTAAAGAGTACTCAAAATAATGGCCTCAGAAAAAAAAACAGTTATACTGGAAAAAATATTACTTAGATTAGTGGATGTAAAATTGAGATTCGTGAGCTGATGAGCATTTGAAAAGTCGGGCTTGTAAAGCTCAGCCGATGAAAAATCAACACCGTTGAGGGTCGCAGATGGAAACTTGGCATTAATGAGCTGTGTGTGTGAAAAATTGACATTAGTAAGCGAAGCGGATGAAAAATCAGCATCATAAAGCACAGAGAATGAGAAATCGACATGGACGAGGGTACTACGGTTAAAATTGACACCACGAATATTTTTAGATGAAAAATTAACATTTTTAAATGTTGCTTCAGCGAAAATGGTATTAGAAAAAGAAGTGGATACAAAGCTAATATTACTGAAGCCAGCAGATGAAAAATTGGCATCATTGATCTCTGCTAATAAAAAATTAGCCGTGTTGAACTGAGTAAAAGCAAAATTAACATGTGTCATGGTGATGCCTATAAACGTAGCGTTCGATAGGAAAACATCGGTCAATGATAAGTTATTCAATATCTTTTTATTGATCGATGCTTCACGGAAATCAATATCACTAAGTTCTGCTGTTGAAAGATCGAGTGAACGATTTTCCGGTGTATCAGTGAGTTGTTTCGCTTCGTAGAGAAATCGAATAATGCGAATATTCTTGTGTGCATCCAGTTGACGAAAGATATTCAGGGTCTTAACTCGAGCAAGCGTTGCTGCAACTCCGCTTGATTTTATTGATCCATGGTATTTCTCTAACAGCTTACCCATTTGCTGAATATAAGTGTCGAAACGGCCGTTTTCATATCTTTGCTTATCTAGATCCTTTTCTTGTATACGCAGTAGTCCCGCTTCTTGTTTTTCTTGGTCCCGCTGCTGTTGAGATGCATTTCGATCATTGATACGTTGCTGTTCAGCTGCCTCTCGATCGTCATCACGTTGCTGTTTAGCTGCACTCTGCTGTTGAAAAGTAATCACAACAGTAAAGACGCCTAATGCGAGTGGCAGCAGTAAAGAGGAGACAAATTTGAGACTCCCTCTAAATTTCCCACTTTTTTTGTCACGCGTTGCAAGGATGGATCCATCCGTTTGTACATTTTGTTTTTGAGAAATCATTCTCGCTTGCCACCTTAATTCGTTGTAATAAACAAATAAACAATGAATACCGATTACAGATGAAGGTGAATTTTTTTGTTGACAGTCTTAGATTGATCAAGTGTGTTGGTAGCCCTATGAAATAGTATGATCTGAAATCCATAAGAAGCATGCTCTAATGCTGTTTGATGTATCTAGAGTATCTGTTCGTGTTTTGATAAATAAAATGTGACAAACTAATACACATTTCAAGGGGGGAAAAGCTGATTTAAATCACAGTAAAACTCAACTTACAATCAATATAAATTAACTGTATTGGAATGAGTTTGCGTGAGTTTCGGTGCCTTTGAATGATTTTCAGTAATAATTTATGATTTGGAATAGTTTTTAGTTAGTTCAGCAAATTTTTCGTTTTCTCAAACTCATTTTAAATCAGCTAAACTCAGAAAAATCATGAAACTCATAAATCGCCTTTTCCCCCTTGACACATTTGCTTCCTCTATGTTTTGTCACATATGAGTGCCAACTGACATGAGAATTTGTTAACATGAAAAATCCTCGAGGAAAACAGATCGTATTTCTTTTTGTGTACATCTGAGGACTGTCTAATTGGGTTCCGTGGAATAAGCAGGAAGTATTTCTGAGTCATATCATCCCTTAGTACAGGATTTTGTTCGAAAAAATGAATTTTCCAACTGACATTTCAGTTTACTTGCAACTCTGCTTCTCATTTAATACAAACATCTTTTGATAATTTTGTACGAGTAACCTATAAGAGAGCTATCAACTTGAAAAAGCTTGTATAAATAAATTGCAAAAGAGTAAAATATATCTCAATAATTCAGAGGTATTGTCGATTATACAGTGGAAACCTTCTACTTACTAGCTAGGAGTGACACTGACTATTCCAAGAATATTACTAACTTTATAAAATTCACCATTTTTAAAAATCTTATCACTCACGCTCTCTTTTAGTAGAGATCAATATACAAAGTAGTATCAAAGAGAAATTTTTGATCAGTGTTATTCACTCACCTCGATCTTCTACAATTTGGGAAAAATTCATTGACGTCAAATGAAATTGGATATCGCTAGCTTCATCGGGACAAACGTGTTTCAAGAAAAAGTTTACTAAACATGATAGAATCTATTTCAATTCAAATAATGCTACTAGTATAATTTATTCATCGCTACGAAAACATGAAATGCAATCATACAGCAGAGCAACTGATCATATTTCATCATAACTGATTCTTTTTGAACTGTTGGTCTATATTATGACGTAAAATCACGCCTATTACGAATAGGTGATAAGCTAATGTGTATGGAAAATTCAGTATAGAAACACATTCATAATGAATCTCACTCTAAAAATAGAACTGACTAATTCTTATGAAACATTCTACTTCATACGATAAGCAAAGTCAGACAAGCCGATCGTTTTCAAATTTAAGTTTGGAATCGTTGTTGACGACAGTAAATATTCATGTTACTTGTTCGCAACCTATTGTAATATCTTTGCAAATAAAATTGTGGGTGTGGGGTGTGGGTGTAGAAGTGGGTGAAAAGGAGACGCATCCACATCCAGATCCCACCCCCATGCCCAAACGGTAGCAGGCTAATACAGCTTCTTTAGTTAGATCAATTATGTATTTGCCTTGAATTATTTAATTTCCATCAAACAGTAACTGATTCACTTTTAAAACGTAATGTCATATAATCATCTACAACTTGTTTTGCAGTTTCCAATGACTTCGCAGATAATCATTCAATAGAGTGTGCTGTTTCGCTACCTTCACGAAAGGAAACGTAATTGAATAAATCAAAGTCATTACTGGTTAACAAATAAATTGCAGTTAAATATAAATGTGTATTTTCAATTATACGTGATAGTTTCTGAGCCCTTTTTACATATAAAGCTCGAACATGAGGTGGTCGGTTAACATCTCCTGATTTAGCAATATTTTCTTTGATTAGTCTATTCAGAAGTGGATTTGCGCTAAGAGTTGAACCATCTGATTCAATATCGATATTTCGTCGCTTGGTTCGAATCTTTTCGGATGGTACGAGTTTGTAAAAAATTGGCAATACATCACCATCAACAAAACTTCTTCGCTCTCGTTGATAAAACAGCAATACTTCTATTTAAAAGAAACAACAATAACATGAATATTATTAATAATCATGATATAAGGCAAAATCTTCAGAACCCCTCTAGTTATGATTTTGATTATATATTTTTTCACATTGAAAAGCTAATATTCAATATTTTTTATTAGTGTAATAGTTGAAATTTAGATTCCGTTGATCGAGTTTCTTTAAAGTATTTGAATGTTTAGTCATTCAATTAAAGATTTTTGAATAATACAATGAAAACAGAGAATTGACTGTGTACACAGGGATGGGCATGGGTCGCGGCTCTGCGGAGGGCGCATAGCGCTCCCACGCCACGACATATAAATAAAGGAAGTGGGGACGTTGGCATTGTTGTTGAATGACGGACTATTTCGTTTTCAAGTATTAAACTATCAAAATTTTCAAAAGTTGAATACAAGTTTCAATGATTACATGTATCATGCAATTGTATGTACTCTTCATGTTTGAAGATTCATTCTCAAGGTAGATTAACCCTTCAACTGAGATAAAAACAAGAATACCTCTTTTATCGATTTCAACGCTCTTCAACCGGAAAATCTAAATATCAATCATATTTTCGATGTTATCTTTTATAATTCTCTTTGAAAATCCTAAAACATTAAGATGAAAGATAGTGCTCCAGTTAAAACTACTACAGTGAGAAATTTCTCAATTCTGTTGTTTATAAGAAACTTTTTGCAGGTTTCCGTTTGATTTTTCAAGAAAAAGCGTTCATGATGGTTCATTATCAAAATCTGGTTGCAATTTCTTGAATCGTAGCTGTATGAGATAAACAGAATTAATCAATAATGAAATCACAGGACCAATATGAAGCACATTTGGCATTCAGATAGGTATTCGATTTGAAATGGATTTTGCACCTCCATGTGGCATAACTAAATATGACATTCGAACTAGTACACTATCATTTCCAATATTTTATGCAAAATTACGCATGTTAAATGCATATCTTTGACCAGTCGATGCACCAAAAATAGCTAATTTGCCATCGGCAATTACATGTTTCGCTACACCAGTCCCACGAGACTCATTGTGAATACCATCATATGCTTGAGTAAGAAATTTTGATCCAGGTGCTGCTGACTCCTCATTTGATTTGAAAACTCCTAAGCGAACTAGCTGGCTATCTAGTTCGTCTATAAAAGCGAACAAATCACTAATCTGAAACAAGTTGCTTTGTATTAGTTACTATTGATATTAAGAGAATTAAAACAAAATTTATAGTAACAAGCGTCATTTGACGAAACAAAGCTAGTTCAGTATTGAAATTAACAATCATCGTCATTCTTTCTTCTACTACTTTCTTTTCATTAAAATCAATCATTTTCTTTGCAGTTGTTGTATTTAATTTCCCATTATTAAAAATATCATCATGAGAAGCAGTCGACATGTTTTTTGTTGTTTTATCCATTCAGTCGAGTCCGACTCTTGACGATCCGATGAATCAGACTTCTTCACATGTTTCTGTTATGTACCATTGTGTTGAGTTGAGTTGAGTTAATGTTAGATGTGTGTCTTCTGTTATTGTGTCAATCCATCTTTTCTTTTGTCTTCCTCTGCGCCGTTTACCACCGATCATGCCAAGCATTATTTCTTTTTCTAACGAATCTTGTCGTCGCATTATATGTCCAAAGTATGATAATTTTAACTTCACCATCGAAGCTTCCAGTAAAGATTCAGGTTTTATTTCTTGTAGAACAAATTTGTTGGTTCTTTTTTCCGTCCACGCAACACGAAGTATTCTGCTCCAGCACCAAATTTCGAAGGCGTCTATTTTTCTTCGATCTGCTTGTTTTATGGTTCAGCTTTCGCATCCATACGTTGTTACCGGAAAAACCATCGTTTTGGTTATTCTAATTTTGGTGGCCAAGCTGACGTCCTTGCTTTTGATGAGTTTGTCCAGACTAATCATTACCGTTCTACCCATAAGAAGTCTTCTTTTTATTTCGTTACTGCAGTTACCATCGGTATTTATACTGGAGCCTAAGAAAATTAGCTCGTTGACTATTTCCACTTGATCATAGGGATGGACCATTTTTTTTAACGGAAATTAATTAATGACTTCCATTAGCCATTAATATTAATGGTTAATGTTTTCTGAGAAAAACTTAATTCATTAATATTAATGGCCCACCCCTAGACTCACATCAATTTACCAGACCGCCACTCTCCGATCTAAACCTGTGAACACTTAATCTTCATCATATTGGCATTGTTTTTTAACACAAAAATTTACACTGTACTGCGTTTTTTTTAAATATGATTTTTCGGTTGTTGAATATGATTTTGTTCGCTGTCTATTTGTTGCTATAGCTTTGAATGAATTTCAAGTATTTGTCATCAGTCAATTATCTTCAGTTGTGCATGCAGAAAACTTCTGTCACTATGCTTTTATCTAGAATAATCCAGATTATTCGAAACCGGCATTATCGTGCTTTTGATTGTTGAAAAACTCCTTAAATAGGACATCACTGCGTAGTTAGACTTTCTTTATTGAGGTCGGCATAATCTCTTTGAAGCCTATAAGTCTAATTGGCATTATCTATTTTTGTTGTTACATCATTTCATTTCGGTGTGCATCTCTAAATGTTGAGTTTTCAAATAATCATAAAGCGGCTATCGTGAGAATTCATCGCAAAGGTAGCTTTATTCATGCATATCGTCATGTACGAAGAGGCTTGTTTCGATACTAAACTTGTTTTTTTGCTTAACTCCGTATTGATAATCAGCTAGATCCATAGGTAGTGCACAAATATATCATCTTAGGGATAAATTTCACCATTTTTCAACAATGAAGCTATAGTGAATAATAAATTTGATAAAGACGTGTGTGATTTCATTTTTTACTATCAACATATGAAATCAACTAAATACAATTAATGAACAATAAGATTTATTATAAATCCTTATTGTCTGTATCACTATCATTGTTCATAGCATTAAATTGTTGTTTTTCTCGCTGGAAGAATTATGAATAATCAGTTTTGTTTATCGATTACTGAAAATTTCAAATAAAATTAAAGCAGCCATAGCTAAATGTATCACCGTGAGAACTCTATTCGTCTCGATGGGCAGATTTTTGTAAAACGATTCTGATTGAGCATTGAATTATGTATATTGTTGTTATACTATTATTGACTGTTATTCTCAAATCAGGTGTCGATTTTTATTTAATTTTTTTTTTGTACTTGAAAGCTTTTGCCAGAAATCTATTTCTAAACTTTAATCTGAAATCTTGTACATATGAATTTTGAGATAGAGCTAGTAAGTACTAAAATGACATTTTTAATCAATGTAGGTGTACAGCAATGTTTTGACATTTTGAAAGTAACCATCGTATCGTGTGAAATATGATTCATCATAATATTATCTATTTATTTTATCTTCTAAAAAAATCAAATGATTGCCTATATAGTGTCTTTTTTTATTCACACCAGTCTGTAATATATAATATTTTTTAAAAGAAAATAACGAAGTCTGCATACTCTCAATATAAAGTAGTTGAGATGGGTGAAAAATAGGCTATGAAAAAAAATAAACCACTATATTATAAATAAAGATTATCATTTTAGAAATTTAATTCATTTCTTTTTTGTTAATCTTGACTTTCACACAAACTTTTTTTCTCTCCTCTACACCTGCATTTGATGTCTGCATCACATAATAATGTTGCTTTAAGTGGATAATAAATTCGTATCTGAGATCATTAAAATCCGAACTGATAAAAAGTCAGAATATCAAGTTTAGAAGACAGCGCATGCAAAAGAAAGCTCTTTATATTCATGCACTTCTCGCAACTTTGTATTTTTTTAGTTGAATATATAAAATTAATCGAAATGAAGCAAAGTTAAAATAAAAACTGGTTGTTGCATAGAAAAAGTGTTCTCACAAATTTTTCTGAAGTATGAAAATTACCCGGACATACTTTTGTTAAAAAAATCTACCACGAAAGTTTATCTATGTAATATTGATAAAGAATGCATTAGAAAAGAATCTCCATTAGATGTTTTTACTTCGTAGACTGGCATTATAGAAAAATTACAATAATAATGCATTTTTCACAAACGTTAACAACACTTTATCAACTAAGAATGCCTTCTGATTTGTTTTCTTTAATAGTAGATCACTTTTCTAGTTTGAAAAAACATAATTAGTTTCTTCTATGATAGAAAATTTGATTTCATCAATTGATATTATGAAAATATAACTGCATGAGTATTGACAAGCAACGATTATCTGAAATGATATTTATAAACGTAATTATAAAATTTCTTCCTTTGTCGACAGTGGTTGCTTTGCACCACATCGTCTCGTGTTAAAAGTCAATGGTAAGAATGAAATATTTTTGATAACTTTTCACGCGTTCTCTCAGTTCTTTTGCAGTCAACCTCAAAGATTTTTAATTAAAACTAAAAATGAACAGTCAGTTGTTAGAGTCGACTAAATCAATTTTATTCATAAATAAGCAAAAATACTCTACATGATATCACTCATTTAGTAATGTTAAAATTCCGAGGTCTAAGTCGCGACAGTACATTAACTGGATAGAATGTTGTAGATAATGAGTTGTGTTGATTACCACGTGGTACGTTTGGCCGAGAAGTATGAGAATAATTAAAATTATTTGAATAACCATGATGCCTAACAGGAGGCTGCATCGCAATTAATTCGAATGGACGAGCTCTAGGAGGTCGAGGAGGAAACCTTGAGGGTGGTGGATGTGGAGTGCGACTGTTGGACATCCTTCTAAGTATAGGACAATATTTGTAATAAAAGAGAAATCAATCGAGCATAACTGTATTTATATTTTTGATTGATGAATTTACTTCATAGCACGAAATAAAAGAGAAAAAAAAGAAATGTTTTCCTTTATATACTGACGCATGAAGGATTTTGTTTCTTAATAAAGTCAATTACAAGAAGACAAAATTAACGAACTTTATTCAAAGTAACGTAGCATACTTTGTCCAACGGGATGATATAGTGCAGTCGTTCTTGTATACTCCATGTATGATGACGAAAATATGTAATTTGTTTGTACGAATGGTGAAGAAGCATCTAGCGATTTATGTCCCCTATGACCATTACCATGTACAAAGCACCGTGCAACCTCTGGCAAATTTACATCAATGACCTCATTCAAGCGATTTTGATATTGTCTAAGTCTTTGAGCGACTTAAAGATAATGACGACCTGTTCTGTGACCCATACCAGTTGGTCGTCACGGCATTGTTGTGTTTCGTTGAATGGAATATATGATTTTTTTGATGTGACATTTAATGAAAATACAATACATGTACCGCAAATCCTCCACAAGTTGGAAACCGTGGATGTCAAAAATGATGAATCATAGCTTGCAATTTAAGTCTTACTCTATTTTTACCATTCAAGCAATTAGTTATTCGAAAAAAACGTTTTAAAAGCCCAGGTGATGTATGTTTGCAAACATACCATACGTTCCAATAATAGTGAAAATTTTTGATGTTCGAATTTGAACTTTAGAGATTGCATCCATATCATAACTACTACAAATATTTGTAGGGAAAGTATTCCTATATAGAGGATGAATGTATACATTCATTTCCCGATTTATCACAAAAAATCAACATTACTAACATTGAATCATTCTGATCTGAATACGTATACGGATTTTATCGAAACAGAAATCACAGAAATCAAAATTGATCAGATAATAAGATGTCACCAATATTTTTTTCATGGATTTTTCCAATAGAATCGATATTTCATTTTTATTGAAATTGGTATGGTGGTAAATCAGCGAAAAACGTTTCAGCGAAAAATTTTGAGCGAAAATTTTTCAGCGAAAATATATTTTGAGCGAATTGTGAAGGGTAAAATAAAGAAATCTTCAGTTTAACTTAACATGAAAAATAATGTGTTTTTTAAATTTAAAAGAAATGTAATACATGAGCATCAAATGATATAAAAAAAACTACCGATTTAGAAATAAAGTATTTGAATGATAAAATCAATGAGCAATTGTAGAATTTTGAGCCACGATCATTGATAAGCCATGAATAAATTCCAATAGAGTAATTTCTTTTTTTTCATGACGTTCTGTTAGAGTTGTGATTTGTGTTAGAATAAAGCAGCCTGTGTCGATTTTTTAATGCGATGCGAGGCATAGCATTTATGTAGT